CATGGTAACGGACCACCTTTAAAACGGCACAATTGTCCCTCCATCCAATTGCAAAATTTGTAGAATTGCAGTAAATTAACTTTAAAACAGCCAATTTTTGTCTCTGTGGCCAAGAGGAGGTATGTTCAGAGACTGTGTCCATTAGTCACGCCCATTACAAACACCCCCACCACACTCGCCACCTGAGCCCCATTTTGTAAACAGCATGATCATTACACAGGTGCACCTTGTGCTGGGGACAATAAATGGCCACTCTAAAAATGTGCAGTTTTGTCACACAACACAATGCCACAGATGTCTCAAGTTTTGAGGGAGCGTGCAATTGGCATGCTGACTGCAGGAATGTCCACCAGAGCTGTTGCCAGAGAATTTAATGTTCATTTCTCTACCATAAGCCGCCTCCCAACGTCGTTTTAGATGATTTAGCAGTACGTCCAGCGTGTAACCACGCCAACCCAGGACCTCCACATCTGACTTCTTCACCTGCGGCATCGTCTGAGACCAGTCAACTGATGAAACTGTGGGTTTTGCACAACCAAAGAATGTCTAGACAAACTGTCAGAAACCGTCTCAGGGAAGCTCAGCTGCGTGCTCGTCGTCCTCACCAGGGTCTTGACCTGACGGCAGTTTGGCGTCGTAATCGACTTCAGTGGGCAAATGCTCACCTTCGATGGCCACTGGCACGCTGGAGATGTGTACTCTTCACAGATGAATCGCAGTTTCAACTGTACCGGGCAGATGGCAGACAGTGTGTATGGTGTCGTGTGGGCGAGTGGTTTGCTGATGTCAACATTGTGAACAGAGTGCCCCGTGGTGGTGGGGTTATGGTATGGGCAGGCATAAGCTATGGGCAACATACACAATTGCATTTCATCAATGGCAATTTGATTGCACAGAGATACCGTGACGAGATCCTGGTGCCATTCATCCTCCGCCATCACCTCATGTTTCAGCATGATAATGCACGGCCCCATGTCGCAAGGATCTGTCTGTACACAATTCCTGCAAGCTGGAAATGTCCCAGTTCTTCCATGGCCTGTATACTCACCAGACATGTCACCCTTTAAGCATGTTTGGGATGCTCTGGATCAACGTGTACGACAGCGTGTTCCAGGTCTGCCAATATCCAGCAACTTCACACAACCATTGAAGAGGAGTGGGACAACATTCCACAGGCCAATATCAACAGCTTGATTAACTCTATGCGAAGGAGATGTGTTGCACTGCATGAGACAAATGGTGGTCACACCAGATACTGACTGGTTTTCTGCGACTAACAGATGCATATCTGTATTCCGAGTCATGTGAAATCCATAAATTAGGGCCTAATTTATTTATTTCAATTGACTGATTTCCTTATGTGAACTGTAACTCAGTAAAATCTTTGAAATTGTTGCATGATGTATTTATATTTTTGTTCAGTGTATATGATTACATGGTCCTCTGTAGCTCAATTGGTAGAGCATGGCGCTTGTAACGCCAGGGTAGTGGGTTCGATCCCCGGGACCACCCATACGTAAAAATGTATGCACGCATGACTGTAAGTCGCTTTGGATAAAAGTGTCTGCTAAATGGCATATTATTATTATTATTATTATTATTATTATTATTAGTATTATGGTTGTTGGTACCATCAATTAAACACACACACACACAGTTGTTTGTACCATAGATGTAATCATTTGAATCATATTTTAACACCTAACAAACACTTTGTATTTTTTAAAACTTTTTAAATCAGGCCCTGTTCTTACCTCATATCCCATAATGCCTTGCATTCTGCCTGGGAAGAAAACACTTCAATTTGCATCAACTTGCCATTGGCTCAACCATTGGCTCAACTTACGCAATTGCCATTTGCTCGGCTTAACCCACACAGCCACAAGGATGCACTTTCATGCTAGGTTTAGGACCTCATATTGCAATTTATAGAGATCCCAACTGATGTATAAAACAATCTTTAAATTATCTACTTTGGTTTAGAAACCTCTAACACAATAAATTAATATGACTTGATGAAAATCTGTTTTTTTGACCGACTGTATCTTGCTTACCACGTTTTGTTCCTTCAGATGAAACGATGACCTCTTCCTAAATATTTGGTGAACTTACCCCCCTCTCCCCCTAATACTCAGAATGGGGAAGGGTGGTCAGGAACTTACCCCCCTCTCCCCTAATACTCAGAATGGGGAAGGGTGGTCAGGAACTTACCCCACTCTCCCCTAATACTCAGAATGGGGAAGGGTGGTCAGGAACTTACCCCACTCTCCCCTAATACTCAGAAGGGGGAAGGGTGGTCAGGAACTTACCCCACTTCCCCTAATACTCAGAATGGGGAAGGGTGGTCAGGAAACTTACCCCACTCTCCCCCTAATACTCAGAATGGGGAAGGGTGGTCAGGAACTTACCCCACTCTCCCCTAATACTCAGAATGGGGAAGGGTGGTCAGGAACTTACCCCACTCTCCCCTAATACTCAGAATGGGGAAAGGGTGGTCAGGAACTTACCCCACTCTCCCCTAATACTCAGAATGGGGAAGGGTGGTCAGGAACTTACCCCCACTCTCCCCTAATACTCAGAATGGGGAAGGGTGGTCAGGGAACTTACCCCACTCTCCCCTAATACTCAGAATGGGGAAGGGTGGTCAGGAACTTACCCCACTCTCCCCTAATACTCAGAATGGGGAAGGGTGGTCAGGAACTTACCCCACTCTCCCTAATACTCAGAATGGGGAAGGGTGGTCAGGAACTTACCCCACTCTCCCCTAATACTCAGAATGGGGAAGGGTGGTCAGGAACTTACCCCACTCTCCCCTAATACTCAGAATGGGGAAGGGTGGTGAGGGAGTTTCTGTCAGTTATGTAGGTTCTTTCATATCCCCTCCCTGATCCGATCCTTCTGTAGAGTGGATTTGAGATCCAGTGTCCTATGTGCGGGATAGTGAGGTCAGTAGAGGTTATGAGGGGCCTCGGGGAGATCCAGTGTCCTAGGTGCGGGATAGTGAGGTCAGTAGAGGTTATGAGGGGCCTCGGGGAGATCCAGTGTCCTAGGTGCGGGATAGTGAGGTCAGTAGAGGTTATGAGGGCCTCGGGGAGATCCAGTGTCCTAGGTGCGGGATAGTGAGGTCAGTAGAGGTTATGAGGGGCCTCGGGGAGATCCAGTGTCCTATGTGTGGGATAGTGAGGTCAGTAAAGGTTATGAGGGGCCTCGGGGAGATCCAGTGTCCTAGGTGCGGGATAGTGAGGTCAGTAGAGGTTATGAGGGGCCTCGGGGAGATCCAGTGTCCTAGGTGCGGGATAGTGAGGTCAGTAAAGGTTATGAGGGGCCTCGGGGAGATCCAGTGTCCTATGTGCGGGATAGTGAGGTCAGTAGATTATGAGGGGCCTCGGGGAGATCCAGTGTCCTAGGTGCGGGATAGTGAGGTCAGTAGAGGTTATGAGGGGCCTCGGGGAGATCCAGTGTCCTATGTGCGGGATAGTGAGGTCAGTAGATTATGAGGGGCCTCGGGGAGATCCAGTGTCCTATGTGCGGGATAGTGAGGTCAGTAGAGGTTATGAGGGGCCTCGGGGAGATCCAGTGTCCTAGGTGCGGGATAGTGAGGTCAGTAGAGGTTATGAGGGCCTCGGGGAGATCCAGTGTCCTATGTGCGGGATAGTGAGGTCAGTAGAGGTTATGAGGGGCCTCGGGGAGATCCAGTGTCCTATGTGCGGGATAGTGAGGTCAGTAGAGGTTATGAGGGGCCTCGGGGAGATCCAGTGCTCTAGGTGCGGTAGAGTGAGGTCAGTAGAGGTTATGAGGGGCCTCGGGGAGATCCAGTGTCCTATGTGCGGGATAGTGAGGTCAGTAGAGGTTATGAGGGGCCTCGGGGAGATCCAGTGTCCTATGTGCGGGATAGTGAGGTCAGTAGATTATGAGGGGCCTCGGGGAGCGTTTAATACAGCAAATGATCACTAATGTTGCTGAAATGTTTGCAAATCACAACTGTTTGACTTCATGTGAGCAACACCTTTTTAGACTGTGTTTCTGCATATTTCCACATTCAAGAGCATTAATACACTAAATGGTATGTTATCCAGATGTGATCAGGATGTGATGTAAAGGGAAACTGCTATCCTTTCCTGTGTTTGGTTCCTTGTAGCTAATGCTTTCATTCTACTGGACATAAGGAGTCTGATGTGACCATCACTCCTGTGAAGACATCCTGTCTCTGTGTCCCTTGTCCTCTGGCTGGTGATCTCCTGTGAAGACACCCTGTCTCTGTGTCCCTTGTCCTCTGGCTGGTGATCTCCTGTGAAGACATCCTGTCTCTGTGTCCCTTGTCCTCTGGCTGGTGATCTCCTGTGAAGACACCCTGTCTCTGTGTCCCTTGTCCTCTGGCTGGTGATCTCCTGTGAAGACACCCTGTCTCTGTGTCCCTTGTCCTCTGGCTGGTGATCTCCTGTGAAGACATCCTGTCTCTGTGTCCCTTGTCCTCTGGCTGGTGATCTCCTGTGAAGACACCCTGTCTCTGTGTCCCTTGTCCTCTGGCTGGTGATCTCCTGTGAAGACATCCTGTCTCTGTGTCCCTTGTCCTCTGGCTTGTGATCTCCTGTGAAGACACCCTGTCTCTGTGTCCCTTGTCCTCTGGCTGGTGATCTCCTGTGAAGACATCCTGTCTCTGTGTCCCTTGTCCTCTGGCTGGTGATCTCCTGTGAAGACATCCTGTCTCTGTGTCCCTTGTCCTCTGGCTGGTGATCTCCTGTGAAGACACCCTGTCTCTGTGTCCCTTGTCCTCTGGCTGGTGATCTCCTGTGAAGACACCCTGTCTCTGTGTCCCTTGTCCTCTGGCTGCTTATCAGACATTGTATATTTTCTATCATTCCAGAATATGAATCTAACCCTTCCTGTGTCTCCTCTCCCGTCTAGCTGGTGATCAGAGTGCACCTGTCAGATGAGAGCTCTAAGACCATGATGGTGGACGAAAGACAGACTGTCAGACAGGTTCTGGACAGCTTGTTGGACAAGTCCCACTGTGGCTACAGCCCTGACTGGTCCCTGGTGGAGACCATCAACGAACTGCAGATGGGTAAGGAGCAAACACACACAGACACACACACACACACTGTGGACACTGCTCCGACTGCAGATGGAAAGGTGCCTCAAGGCTGGAGCGATGACACACACATTCTTTATATAATTTCCCAGTTGATTTTCTGAAATGCCAAAAGGATTACCAGCCACTGCAATCCTCATGTGGCTGTGGTCTGCTCTGAGCAGCAGATGGGGAGGGGGGGGGGGGGGGGGGGGGGGGGGGGGGGGGGGGGGGGGGAACCACAACAGGGATAAAAAGATTGAACTCAATTGCTTAGAATATGAGGCAGGGTATTGAAAGCCATTGACATTCTGCAGCAGAGAGGGTTAGTGGCTGTTGAGAGGGGCTGTTAGTAATATGGACCACCCTCCCTCCTCTCCTGTGTCTGGTGGTGTGGTCTGCTGTCATCAGAGAGGGTTGGTCGCCGTTGGGAGGGGCTGTTAGTAATATGGACCACCCTCCCTCCTCTCCTGTGTCTGGTGGTGTGGTCTGCTGTCATCAGAGAGGGTTAGTCACCATTGGGAGGGGCTGTTAGTAATATGGACCACCCTCCCTCCTCTCCTGTGTCTGGTGGTGTGGTCTGCTGTCATCAGAGAGGGTTGGTCACCATTGGGAGGGGCTGTTAGTAATATGGACCACCCTCCCTCCTCTCCTGTGTCTGGTGGTGTGGTCTGCTGTCATCAGAGAGGGTTGGTCGCCGTTGGGAGGGGCTGTTAGTAATATGGACCACCCTCCCTCCTCTCCTGTGTCTGGTGGTGTGGTCTGCTGTCATCAGAGAGAGTTGGTCGCCGTTGGGAGGGGCTGTTAGTAATATGGACCACCCTCCCTCCTCTCCTGTGTCTGGTGGTGTGGTCTGCTGTCATCAGAGAGGGTTGGTCGCCGTTGGGAGGGGCTGTTAGTAATATGGACCACCCTCCCTCCTCTCCTGTGTCTGGTGGTGTGGTCTGCTGTCATCAGAGAGGGTTGGTCACCGTTGGGAGGGGCTGTTAGTAATATGGACCACCCTCCCTCCTCTCCTGTGTCTGGTGGTGTGGTCTGCTGTCATCAGAGAGGGTTGGTCGCCGTTGGGAGGGGCTGTTAGTAATATGTGGTCTACTGTCATCACAGTGCATCAGAGAGGGTTGGTCACCGTTGGGAGGGGCTGTTAGTAATATGGACCACCCTCCCTCCTCTCCTGTGTCTGGTGGTGTGGTCTGCTGTCATCACAGTGCAGCAGAGAGAGTTGGTCACCGTTGGGAGGGGCTGTTAGTAATATGTGGTCTACTGTCATCACAGTGCAGCAGAGAGAGTTGGTCGCCGTTGGGAGGGGCTGTTAGTAATATGTGGTCTACTGTCATCACAGTGCAGCAGAGAGAGTTGGTCACCGTTGGGAGGGGCTGTTAGTAATATGGACCACCCTCCCTCCTCTCCTGTGTCTGGTGGTGTGGTCTGCTGTCATCAGAGAGAGTTGGTCGCCGTTGGGAGGGGCTGTTAGTAATATGTGGTCTACTGTCATCACAGTGCAGCAGAGAGGGTTGGTCGCCGTTGGGAGGGGCTGTTAGTAATATGTGGTCTACTGTCATCACAGTGCAGCAGAGAGAGTTGGTCACCGTTGGGAGGGGCTGTTAGTAATATGTGGTCTACTGTCATCACAGTGCAGCAGAGAGGGTTGGTCACCGTTGGGAGGGGCTGTTAGTAATATGTGGTCTACTGTCATCACAGTGCAGCAGAGAGGGTTGGTCACCGTTGGGAGGGGCTGTTAGTAATATGTGGTCTACTGTCATCACAGTGCAGCAGAGAGGGTTGGTCGCCGTTGGGAGGGGCTGTTAGTAATATGTGGTCTACTGTCATCACAGTGCAGCAGAGAGGGTTGGTCGCCGTTGGGAGGGGCTGTTAGTAATATGTGGTCTACTGTCATCACAGTGCAGCAGAGAGGGTTGGTCGCCGTTGGGAGGGGGCTGTTAGTAATATGGACCACCCTCCCTCCTCTCCTGTGTCTGGTGGTGTGGTCTGCTGTCATCAGAGAGAGTTGGTCGCCGTTGGGAGGGGCTGTTAGTAATATGTGGTCTACTGTCATCACAGTGCAGCAGAGAGGGTTGGTCGCCGTTGGGAGGGGCTGTTAGTAATATGTGGTCTACTGTCATCACAGTGCAGCAGAGAGAGTTGGTCACCGTTGGGAGGGGCTGTTAGTAATATGTGGTCTACTGTCATCACAGTGCAGCAGAGAGGTTTGGTCGCCGTTGGGAGGGGCTGTTAGTAATATGTGGTCTACTGTCATCACAGTGCAGCAGAGAGGGTTGGTCGCCGTTGGGAGGGGCTGTTAGTAATATGTGGTCTACTGTCATCACAGTGCAGCAGAGAGGGTTGGTCGCCGTTGGGAGGGGCTGTTAGTAATATGTGGGTCTACTGTCATCACAGTGCAGCAGAGAGGGTTGGTCACCGTTGGGAGGGGCTGTTAGTAATATGTGGTCTACTGTCATCACAGTGCAGCAGAGAGAGTTGGTCACCGTTGGGAGGGGCTGTTAGTAATATGTGGTCTACTGTCATCACAGTGCAGCAGAATGCAGCCTCACTGAACACACAGCTCTGCCTCAGTCTATGTAGGTCCAGAGCGATCATGCATGTGACCTAACCTATATCTCCAGGGCGTTCTCTGACTGGCCAAGCTGGGCCAGCCTCTTAACTCTATTCAATTCAAGGAGCTTTATTGGCATAGGAAACGTATGTTAACATTGCCAAAGCAAATGAGTTAGATAGTAAACAAAAGTGAAATAAACAATAAATATTAACAGTAAACATTACACTCAGAAGTTCCAAAAGAATAAAGACATTTCAAATGTCATATTATGTATATATACAGTGTTGTAACAATGTGCAAATAGTTAAAGTACAAATGGGAAAATAAATCAACATAAATATGGGTTGTATTTACAATGGTGTTTGTTCTTCACTGGTTGCCCTTTTCTTGTGGCAACAGGTCACAAATCTTGCTACTGTGATGGCACACTGTGGTATTTCACCCAATAGATATGGGAGTTGATCAAAATTGGATTTGTTTTCAAGTTCTTTGTGGATCTGTTTAATCTGAGGGAAAATATGTGTCTCTATGGTCTACATTGTCTCTCTTCTCTATCTTCTATCTATATATATGTGTGTGTTCTGTCTATATGTATTATCTTATTTCTGTCTTATGTATTCTTATGTCTGTCTCTATCTCTCTATGTAAATCTCTATATATGTGTGTATATATCTATCTCTATCTCTAGATATGTTATGTCTCTATCTGTGAGGTACTCTCTTATATTGTAGATCTCTCGTATGGAATCAGAGTCTTCTTAATATCTATATATTCTATATATCTCTATCTTCATCTATATACCTATCTCATATCTGTGTCTCTATTCTCTCTCTATCTATTATCTGTGTTCTATATCTATTTCTCTGTGTCTGTTGTATTATCTCGTATAGAGTCTCTCTGCATATACTCTCTTCATCTGGTGTATGTCGTTATATCTTGATATCTAATCTATATGTGTGTATGCTATATCGTTCTGGAGAGAAGAGAGAGAGAGAGGAAGAGGAGCGAGAGAGACGAGGGAGAATTAGTCTCTCTCTATCTACTCTCTCTCTCTGTGTACTTTCTCTCTTCTCTATATAGCTCTGTTATCTATATCTCTCCTCTCTCTGTGTCTGTCTCTCTCCTCTTTCTTCTCTTCTCTCTTGTCTGTCTTCCTACTCTCTTCTCTCTATCTCTCTCTTCTTCTTTTCTATCTCTTCTATCTCTTCTCTCTCTCTTCGTGTGTCTGTTCTCTATCTCTCTATCTCATCTCTCTTGTTCTTTCTCTTATCTTCTCTCTATCTCTCTCTCTGTTTCTATCTCTCTCTATCTCTTTCTTGTTCGCTTCTCTCTCTCTCTCTTTCTATTCTTCTCTCTCTCCTGTTGCTGTTGTCTATCTTCTCTTCGCTCTCTCTCTATGTTGTTGTCTCTCTTCTCTCCTCTCTGTATTATCTCTCTGTGTCTGTCTCTCTATCTCTCTCTGTCTCTCTCTATCTTCTCTCTCTCTCTCTCTCTCTCTCTTCTTATTCTCTCTCTCTCTCTCCTCTCTCTCTCTTGGTGTCTGTTCTCTCTCTGTGTCTGTCTCTCTCTACTCTCTCTGTGTGTGTCTGTCTCTCTCTCTCTCTCTGTTCTCTCTCCTCTCTCTGTGTGTCTCTCCTCTCTCCTGCTCTCTCTCTCTCTCTCTCTCTCTCTCTCTCTCTCATCTCTCTCCTTCTCTGTGTTGTTTCTCTCTATCCTCTCTTGGTCTGTCTCTCTCTCTCTTCTGTATGTCTCTCTCTCTCTCGTCTCTTTCGTGTCTGTCTCTCTCCTCTCTCTCTCTCTGTCTCGCTCTCTCTTTTCTCTCTTTTCTCTGTCTCTCTTCTCTGTCTCTCTCTCTCTCTCTCTCTCTCTCTCTCTCTCTCTCTCTCTCTCTCTCTCTCTCTCTCTCTCTCTCTGTGTGTCTGTCTCTCTCTCTCTCTGTCTCTCTCTCTCTCTCTCTGTGTCTGTCTCTCTCTCTCTCTGTCTCTCCTCTCTCTCTGTGTCTGTCTCTCCTCTCTCTGCGTGTCTCTCTCCTCTCTAATAATATAATAACATCTCTAAATAATAATAATTGCCCGGTGCTGTCTAAATCCACCATTTTAGGCTGCCAACACTCAAGTCTCCATGGCTTAATGTTGATGACAATGGCTTCCACCCCTACATACCAGGGTTCAAATCCTACCTTTGGCAAAATAATTTATCAGACCTGTTTACTGCTTTTCTTTATTCAACCATTTATGAATATAAATTAAATTGACTGTTGGGTTTAAGGTTTATTTAGTCTGGGACAAGGTAGCACGTCCAGTGAACAGGTCAGGGTTCCATAGCCGCAGGCAGAACAGTTGAAACTGGAGCAGCAGCACGACCAGGTGGACTGGGGACAGCCAGGAGTCATCAGGCCAGGTAGTCCTGAGGCATGGTCCTAGAGCTCAGGTCCTCCGGTGGTGATAAGTCTATCTCTCCTTCTAACTTCCCTCCAGAGCGTATCTTTGAGGACCATGAGAACCTGGTGGACGGCCTTCTGAACTGGACCAGAGACAGCCAGAACAGACTGATGTTCATAGAACGCATCGAGAAGTACGCCCTCTTCAAGAACCCACAGGTACGACAGACAACCACTGCATTATTGTTATAGAGGCCTACTGACGTGGGTAGTTCTGACGTGGGTAGTTCTGACGTGGGTAGTTCTGACGTGAGTAGTTGTGACGTGGGTAGTTGTGACGTGGGTAGTTGTGACGTGGGTAGTTGTGATGTGGGTAGTTCTGACGTGGGTAGTTGCATTCCTGGATGCTGATTAGCTGAAACTGCATTCCAACCATTTGAATAATCAATTCCCGATATACTACAGATAAGCCTTCTCACCTGAGTTACAATCAATTGATGCAGATTATACAATTGATGCAGATTATACAACAATGCAGATTATACAACCAATGCAGATTATACAATTGATGCAGATTATACAACCAATGCAGATTATACAATTGATGCAGATTATACAACCAATGCAGAAATGCACTGACTGAGGCTGAGCTGCCTTAAATAAAACGGTTTCACCAAAATGGATACCCACAGTAGTATCAGTCAGCTACCCCCCCCCCCCCCCCCCCCCCCCCCCCCCCCCCTCCCCCCAGCGTGTCCTTCAGATCCAGGTCAGTATGTTGTAGATGGTGATGCTATGAATAATAGATTAGGAATGAGACTGGGAGCTGGTGAGCATGGCTGTGTCCTTGGTGAACAGTCGATTTTAGTTTTACTGAAAGTGACTGTTCTCTAATACGATGTTAAAGGGATAGTTCAGCTAAATTCCATATTTAGATATTTGTTTCTTTACTGTGAAAGCAGTCTATGAACAAAGACAGACTGCAATACATTTTTGGTTTTGTTCAACTTTACTGTCATACCCTGATTGACCTTTCCCTGCCTCCTTTCCCTCACCTGGAAATTCACAGAACTATTTGTTGGGGCGGAAGGAGACGTGTGAGATGGCAGACCGGAACAAGGAGGCTCTACTAGAGGTATGATATGCAGCCTCATCACTCCTTCATAACACCTCACCAGAACACCTCACCAGAACACCTCACCAGAACACCCAACGAGATGACAAGTTAACTTATTCAGGCATTTCAGACTGTTATGTTGTAACTGTTACCTTGCGTTAATATCTACTATGGTGATGCTGAGGTGTGTGTGTTAATATCTACTATGGTGATGCTGAGGTGTGTGTGTTAATATCTACTATGGTGATGCTGAGGTGTGTGTTAATATCTACTATGGTAATGCTGAGGTGTGCGTTAATATCTACTATGGTGATGCTGAGGTGTGTGTTAATATCTACTATGGTGATGCTGAGGTGTGTGTTAATATCTACTATGGTGATGCTGAGGTGTGTGTTAATATCTACTGTGGTGATGCTGAGGTGTGTGTTAATATCTACTGTGGTGATGCTGAGGTGTGTGTTAATATCTACTATGGTGATGCTGAGGTGTGTGTTAATATATACTGTGGTGATGCTGAGGTGTGTGTTAATATCTACTGTGGTGATGCTGAGGTGTGTGTTAATATCTACTATGGTGATGCTGAGGTGTGCATTAATATCTACTATGGTGATGCTGAGGTGTGTGTTAATATCTACTGTGGTGATGCTGATGTGTGCGTTAATATCTACTATGGTGATGCTGAGGTGTGTGTTAATATCTACTATGGTGATGCTGAGGTGTGCATTAATATCTACTATAGTGATGCTGAGGTGTGTGTTAATATCTACTATGGTGATGCTGAGGTGTGTGTTAATATCTACTATGGTGATGCTGAAGTGTGTGTTAATATCTACTATGGTGATGCTGAGGTGTGTGTTAATATCTACTATGGTGATGCTGAGGTGTGTGTTAATATCTACTGTGGTGATGCTGAGGTGTGTGTTAATATCTACTATGGTGATGCTGAGGTGTGCGTTAATATCTACTATGGTGATGCTGAGGTGTGTGTTAATATCTACTATGGTGATGCTGAGGTGTGCGTTAATATCTACTATGGTGATGCTGAGGTGTGTGTTAATATCTACTATGGTGATGCTGAGGTGTGTGTTAATATCTACTATGGTGATGCTGAGGTGTGTGTTAATATCTACTGTGGTGATGCTGAGGTGTGTGTTAGTATCTACTGTGGTGATGCTGAGGTGTGTGTTAATATCTACTGTGGTGATGCTGAGGTGTGTGCTCTCCTCGGCAGGAATGTTTTTGTGGCAGCTCTGTCTCTGTGCCTGAGATGGAGGGTGTACTCTGGCTGAAGGAGGATGGGAGGAAGAGCTGGAAGAAGAGATACTTCCTGCTCAGAGCCTCGGGGATCTACTATGTACCTAAAGGAAAGGCCAAGGTACGTCTCTGGAACACACTGATGATGATGATGATAGTAGTAGTAGTAGTAGTAGCAGTAGTAGCAGTAGTAGTAGTAGTAGTAGTAGTAGTAGTAGTAGCAGTAGTAGTAGCAGTAGTAGTAGTAGTAGTAGTAGTAGCAGTAGTAGCAGTAGTAGTAGCAGTAGTAGTAGTAGTAGTAGTAGTAGCAGTAGCAGTAGTAGTAGTAGTAGTAGTAGTAGTAGCAGTAGCAGTAGTAGTAGCAGTAGTAGTAGTAGTAGTAAAAGTAGTAGTAGTAGTAGTAGTATTTAGTCTTTATTTTATTTTTATTTTATTTTTTATGACATCAATTGGCTCCCAAACGTCTCTTCATTCAAAATGCTGGAAAATCAACCTAGAACCATGAAAAATTGCAAATCTGTACTATAAAGCCAAAACAGTATTCACCATCTTCAGAGAATGATTTTGTAATTTATTTGCAGATAATCATTGTTTTGAGCTCAAAAGCAGTAGTAGCAGTATGCAAATCAGGGAGCCAAATGAACGGCTCTTTCACCGTTGTGATTCGCTTCCAAACGTTCATCAAAATGAGCTGTTCAGGGCTCCCGAGTGGCGCAGCGGTCTAAGGCACTGCATCACAGTGCTTGAGGCGTCACTACAGACCCGGGTTCGATCCCAGGCTGTCACAGCCGGCCGTGACCGGGAGACCCATGAGGTGGCGCACAATTGGCCCAGCGTCGTCCGGGTTAGGGGAGGGTTTGGCCGGCCGGGATGTCCTTGTCCCATCGCGCTCTAGCGACTCCTTGTGGCGGCCGGGCGCCTGCAAGCTGACTTTAGTCGCCAGTTGTACGGTGTTTCCTCCGACACATTTGTGCGGCTGGCTTCCGGATTAAGCGAGCAGTGTGTCAAGAAGCAGTGCGGCTTGGCAGGGTCGTGTTTCGGAGGACGCATGGATCTCGACTGAGTCCGTACGTTAGTTACAGCGATGGGACAAGACTGTAACTAACAATTGGATATCACGAAATTGGGGAGGGGAAAAAAGGGGGCAAAAAAAAAACTGCCTCACCTTTCAAGATTTAGATAATAAAGCGTTTGACCTTTCCATTGTGTTAACAATAGAGGATTGGTTGATTTTTCCATTTATTTCAAGATGATTGAGTAAAAGTATCTTCCAACCCATCGGGTCTCGGAACCCTGTCTACTACATTTATGTTGTAATACGTCCAGCCAACATTCTAACTCCGCCCATAACTTCCGGACTTTATAGCGTTCCCAGAATGCATGAGTTATTGAGTCATTATTAGTTTTACACTTAAGACATGACTCTGCCGTTGTGTTGTAGAATTTGTGAATTTCTTGTGTAATCAATTCTACACATTAGTTTATACTGGATTAATCGTACATTTCTGTTAACTGTAATTTCGTAAGTTATGCTTCAACTTTCCCTCCTTGTGCCGACATCAGTTATTTTTAAGTCTCGGTTCCAATAGTTTATATTTCTAAGAGGTTGTCAGTTGGATCGGCTCTCTGCTCTCTGCAAGGTTTGGTATATCTTCCCTATCATATGAACATCATTTTCTGACTCAAATAAGATTCCCTCAAGGTTGCTCTGATGTCCAGAAGAATTCAAATCAAAATTGCAGGTTTTCCTACTTACAAAGCATGTAGAGGTCTGTAATTTTATCATAGGTACACTTCAACTGTGAGAGACGGAATCTAAAACAAAAATCCAGAAAATCACATTGTATGATTTTTAAGTAATTTGCATTTTATTGCATGACATAAGTATTTGATACATCAGAAAAGCAGAACTTAATATTTGGTACAGAAACCTTTGTTTGCAATTACAGAGATCATACGTTTGCTGTAGGTCTTGACCAGGTTTGCACACACTGCAGCAGGGATTTTGGACCACTTCTATATACAGACCTTCTCCAGATCCTTCAGGTTTCGGGGCTGTCGCTGGGCAATACAGACTTTCAGCTCCCTCCAAAGATTTTCTATTGGGTTCAGGTCTGGAGACTGGCTAGGCCACTCCAGGACCTTGAGATGCTTCTTACGGAGCCACTCCTTAGTTGCCCTGGCTGTGTGTTTCGGGTCGTTCTCATGCTGGAAGACCCAGCCACAACCCATCTTCAATGCTCTTACTGAGGGAAGGAGGTTGTTGGCCAAGATCTTGCGTGACATGGCCCCATCCATCCTCCCCTCAATACGGTGCAGTCGTCCTGTCCCCTTTGCAGAAAAGCATCCCCAAAGAATGATGTTTCCACCTCCATGCTTCACGGTTGGGATGGTGTTCTTGGGGTTGTACTCATCCTTCTTCTTCCTCCAAACACCGGTCGCGCAGTGGTCTAAGGCACTGCATCGCAGTGCTAGCTGTGCCGCTCTAGATCCTGGTTCGAATCCAGGCTCTGTCGTAGCCGGCCGCGACCGGGAGACCCATGGGGCTGCGCACAATTGGCCCAGCGTCGCCCATTTTGTCTCATTAGACCACATGACCTTCTCCCATTCCTCCTCTGGATCATCCAGATGGTCATTGGCAAACTTCAGACGGGCCTGGACATGCGCTGGCTTGAGCAGGGGGACCTTGCGTGCGCTGCAGGATTTTAATCCATGACGGCGTAGTGTGTTACTAATGGTTTTCTTTGAGACTGTGGTCCCAGCTCTCTTCAGGTCATTGACCAGGTCCTGCCGTGTAGTTCTGGGGTGATCCCTCACCTTCCTCATGATCATTGATGCCCCACGAGGTGAGATCTTGCATGGAGCCCCAGACCGAGGGTGATTGACCGTCATCTTGAACTTCTTCCGTTTTCTAATAATTGCGTCAACAGTTGTTGCCTTCTTACCAAGCTGCTTGCCTATTGTCCTGTAGCCTATCGCAGCCTTGTGCAGGTCTACAATTTTATCCCTGATGTCCTTACACAGCTCTCTGGTCTTGGCCATTGTGGAGAGGTTGGAGTCTGTTTGATTGAGTGGGTTGACAGGTGTCTTTTATACAGGTAACGAGTTCAAACAGGTGCAGTTAATACAGGTAATGAGTGGAGAACAGGAGGGCTTCTTAAAGAAAAACTAACAGGTCTGTGAGAGCCGGAATTCTTACTGGTTGGTAGGTGATCAAATACTTATGTCATGCACTAAAATGCAAATTAATTACTTAAAAATCTGACAATGTGATATTCTGGATTTTTGTTTTAGATTCCGTCTCTCACAGTTGAAGTGTACCTATGATAAAAATTACAGACCTCTACATGCTTTGTAAGTAGGAAAACCTGCAAAATCGGCAGTGTATCAAATACTTGTTCTCCCCACTGTATATTCTAGAGCGTAACATAAGGTAACCAGTCCATCCCATAATAATACAGTACACACTCAAAGGCAATTACTAGAATGTGTTTAATTTTGGAGTATATGCTAGACCAATTATGTACCAAAGACATCTTAAATCAATGTTTTATGTTTTTCTGCTATGCTTAGGCTATGTATTGTATAACGGCACAATCAATTTAATTCAGGTTTTTCTTTCGGGCTCATAAGCCTAATAGAGTGGCTTGCGAAAGTATTCACCCCCTTGGCATTTTTCCTATTTTGTTGCCTTACAACCTGGAATTAAAATGGATTTTTGCGGGGTTTCAATCATTTGATTTACACAACATGCCTACCACTTTGAAGATGCTAAATAATTTTTTTTGTGAAACAAACAAGAAATAAGACAAAAAAAACAGAACTTGAGCGTGCATAACTATTCACCTACCTACCCCCCACAGATACTCCAATCTCCGCTGTGGAGCTTTGCAGCTCCTTCAGGGTTATCTTTGGTCTCTTTGTTGCCTCTCTGATTAATGCCCTCCTTGCCTGGTCCGTGAGTTTTGGTGGGCGGCCCTCTCTTGGCAGGTTTGTTGTGGTGCCATATTCTTTCCATTTTTTAATAATGGATTTAATGGTGCTCCGTGAGATGTTCAAAGTTTAGGATATTTTTTTATAACCCAACCCTAATCTGTACTTCTCCACAACTTTGTACCTGACCTGTTTGGAGAGCTCCTTGGTCTTCATGGTGCCGCTTGCTTGGTGGTGTTGCAGACTCTGGGGCCTTTCAGAACAGGTGTATACAATTGAAGTCAAAAGTTTACATACACCTTAGCCAAATACATTTCAACTCAGTTTTTCACAATTCCTGACATTTAATCCTAGTAAAAATGCCCCGTCTTAGGTCAGTTAGGATCACCACTTTATTTTAAGAATGTGAAATGTCAGAATAAAAGTAGAGAGAATTATTTATTTCAGCTTTTATTTCTTTCATCATATTCCCAGTGGGTCAGAAGTTTACAGACACTCAATTAGTATTTGGTAGCATTGCCTTTAAATTGTTTAACTTGGGTCAAACGTTTTGGGTAGCCTTCCACAAGCTTCCCACAATAAGTTGGGTGAATTTTGGCCCATTCCTCCTGACAGAGCTGGTGGAATTGAGTCAGGTTTGTAGGCCTCCTTGCTCGTACACGCTTTTTCAGTTTTGCCCACACAATTTCTATAGGATTGAGGTCAGGGCTTTGTGATGGCCACTCCAATACAACTTTGTTGTCCTTAAGCCAATTTGCCACAACTTTGGAAGTATGCTTGGGGTCATTGTCCATTTGGAAGACCAATTTGCGACCAATCTTTAACTTCCTGACTGTAAATTTTGCTTCAATATATCCACATAATTTTCCTTCCTCATGATGCCATCTATTTTGTGAAGTGCACCAGTCCCTCCTGCAGCAAAGCACCCCCACAGCATGATGCTGCCACCCCCGTACTTCACGGTTGGGATGGTGTTCTTTGGCTTGCAAGCATTCCCCTTTTTCCTCCAAACATAACGATGGTCATTATGGCCAAACAGTTATATTTTTGTTTCATCAGACTAGAGGACATTTCTCCAAAAAGTACGATCTTTGTCCGATATGCAGTTGCAAACCGTTGTCTTGCTTTTTTATGGCGGTTTTGGAGCAGTGGCTTCTTCCTTGCTGAGCGGCCTTTCAGGTTATGTCGATATAGGACTCGTTTTACTGTAGATATAGATACTTTTGTACCTGTTTCCTCCAGCATCTTCACAAGGTCCTTTGCTGTTGTTCTGGGATTGATTTGCACTTTTTGCACCAAAATATGTTCCTCTCTAGGAGACAGAACGCGTCTCCTTCCTGAGCGGTATGACGGCTGCGTAGTCCCATGGTGTTTATACTTGCGTACTATTGTTGGTGTTGCAGACTCTGGGGCCTTTCAGAACAGGTGTATACATACTGAGATCATGTGACCGATCATGTGACACCTAGATTGCTCACAGGTGGACTTTATGTAACTAATTATGTGACTTCTGGAGGTAATTGGTTGCACCAGATCTTATTTAGGAGCTTCATAGCAAAGGGGGTGAATACATATGCACACACCACTTTTCCGTTATTCTATATACTTTTTAATTTTTTGAAACAAGTTATTTTTTTAATTTCACTTCACCAATTTGGACTATTTTGTGGGTGTCCATTACATGAAATCCAAATATAAATCCATTTAAATGACAGGTTATAATGCAACAAAATAGGAAAAACGCCAAGGGGGATAAATCCTTTTGCAAGGCACTGTATGCCAATGGGGGTTTTGAATGAATCATTACCTTAGAAAGCGCTGTCCATTTCATTGTTAGGCTTTGAAACAACATCCCCAACAACCATGTTTTACACTGTTTCAACCTGCTGTTGAACTTCTTTCTTGAAATTGATCATCACAGTGAGGTGAGCTTTAAAAGTATGATAGGCCTACTGTTTTGATAAGCATTTGAAGTGATTTTCGATTGTATTTGCATTGCTGTCAGAGGTAGAGGGTCAATAGAGCTCTGAGTACCAGGCCTTTAGGATCGGATGGTAGTTGGCAAGTTAGGTACTGCCAAAGCATGTCTAGAGTGCAGAAAAGGAGATTACTGTGACTGAAGGTCACGTGGAATTTGACTGCTGCCATGACTCATGACTGCCAGTGTGGCGGTAATACGGTACATCAAGAGATGGGCTGAAGTGAGAAGGAAACTTCGATGACGAAGAGCAGAAGAAGAGAAGGGCAGAGGAAGAAAGGAAAGGAAGGAAGGGAAGAGCAGAAGGAAGAAGCGAGAAGAGAAGAGAGAGAAAGAAGAACAGAAGCAGAGAAGACAGAAGAGAAGAGAAGGAAGAAAAGTTAAGACGGCATAGAGAGAACCTTACTATCTTCCTCCTTCATCATCCTTCACCGAATCCTTCTTCTCCTCCTCCTCTCCTCCTCATCCTCTCTCATTCCTCCTTTCCTTCCTCCTCTCCTCTCCTTCCTCCTCTCCTTCCTCCTCTCCCACTGCAGGCTTCCAGAGATCTAGTGTGTTTCCTGCAGCTGGATCATGTTAATGTGTACTACGGACAGGACTACCGCAGCAAGTACAAGGCCCCCACAGACTACTGCCTGGCCCTCAAGGTGAGAACAACAGCCCAGCTAGTACCACATTAACTTCCACCTAACTCTAACCCCACAGAGTAATGACCCTAACCCCACAGAGTAATGACCCTAACCCCACAGAGTAATGACCCTAACCCCACAGAGTAATGACCCTAACCCCACAGAGTAATGACCCTAACCCCACAGAGTAATGACCCTAACCCCACAGAGTAATGACCCTAACCCCACAGAGTAATGACCCTAACCCCACAGAGTAATGACCCTAACCCCACAGAGTAATGACTCTAACCCCACAGAGTAATGACCCTAACCCCACAGAGTAATGACCCTAACCCCACAGATCAACCCCATTACTAACACCTGAACACTACAGGATCCCAAATGTAATCCTATTCCGTATATCAGGGCTCTATATCAACCCTGTTCCTGGAGAGATACCCTCCTGTAGGTTTTAACTCCAACCCTGTTCCCGGAGAGATACCCTCCTGTAGGTTTTAACTCCAACCCTGTTCCCGGAGAGATACCCTCCTGTAGGTTTTAACTCCAACCCTATTCCCGGAGAGATACCCTCCTGTAGGTTTTAACTCCAACCCTGTTCCTGGAGAGGAACCCTCCTGTAGGTTTTAACTCCAGCCCTGTTCCTGGAGAGATACCCTCCTGTAGGTTTTAACTCCAACCCTGTTCCCGGAGAGATACCCTCCTGTAGGTTTTAACTCCAACCCTGTTCCTGGAGAGAGATACCCTCCTGTAGGTTTTAACTCCAACCCTATTCCCGGAGAGATACCCTCCTGTAGGTTTTAACTCCAACCCTGTTCCCGGAGAGATACCCTCCTGTAGGTTTTAACTCCAACCCTGTTCCTGGAGAGGAACCCTCCTGTAGGTTTTAACTCCAGCCCTGTTCCTGGAGAGATACCCTCCTGTAGGTTTTAACTCCAACCCTGTTCCTGGAGATATACCCTCCTGTAGGTTTAACTCCAACCCTGTTCCGGAGAGATACCCTCCTGTAGGTTTTAACTCCAGCCATGTCCTGGAGAGATACCCTCCTGTAGGTTTTAACTCCAACCCTGTTCCCGGAGAGATACCCTCCTGTAGGTTTTAACTCCAGCCCTGTTCCTGGAGATATACCCTCCTGTAGGGCCCATCGGGAATAGGGTGCCATTTTGGATGATGCCCTCAACTCTAGTAACACACCTGACCTGTTGTCCCTAGACCAGTACCACCTGCATACTACTTGTTGCTGCTGGTAACACCAGCCCTGCATACTACTTGTTGCTGCTGGTAACACCAGCCCTACATACTACTTGTTGCTGCTGGTAACACCGTTAGCCAGGTTTGTTTTTTATTGTTGAAGAGGATAGTGGCGACGCTGCTCGCTCCGAAATACCTTGTCAGATTCTTCACTTCCTGAAAGGGAGGAAAATAGATTTCTTAGTTTCCTTTTGTGCCTCGTCTTTCAAAACGTCACAGTCCCAGATAAAAAAAAACTGATTGGCAGCTTTAAAGAGGGGAGAGGAGGAGGGAGACTGGGGAGATGAGTTGTTTTGGACCACTCTGATTCCCTGTAGTGATGGTGTTTGGGACAGAGTTGGGGAAGGAGAACGCAGTAAAGAGACATTCTTTCTTTTGGCAGTACTCTTTCAAATAATAGAGGCTGACTGATTCGTTTTTCTATTCTGGTTTGACGGTAATGTTTCCATGTACTCCCTGAGGGGATTAATTGGGTACAGCAGAGGGATTGAGGATGTTGGATCTCTACCTTCAGTCTGCCTGTCAGAGGAGAGAAGTACAGCCTTACATCACCATCTAGTGGCACAGTGTTTAAAACTACAGCGATATCATCTCTGCATTGCCTCACATCTCTGGGGTTTTAGCCCAATTCATCTCAGTCAGGGCTGTAACTACTTATGAGGACACCAAGGTCCGAACCTAGGTCATCTTTTCTAATAGAAATTAAACAATTTAAAATATATATATTTTTACACAATAAAGAAAGCTCAGAACGATTATATTCTTGATCTGACATAGTTCTTAATCGCGCCTGCCTCTTTGCGAATGAGTGGAATTATGAATAGTGTGTTTTTCTCATTATGTTCGCCTGCGTCCCCTGGTTTTGCCTTTTTAACAGCACGTTCACCACTCTCTCAAAAACCAAACTCTGCATTCCACGGTAAGAACATCATACCAAAGGTCAAGCATGGTGGTGGTGGTGTGATGGATTGGGGATGCTTTGCTGCCTCAGGACCTGGACGACTTGCCTTAATAGAAGGAACCATGAATTCTGCTCTGTATCAGATAATTCTACAGGAGAATGTCAGACCATCCGTCTGTGAGCTGAAGCTGAAGCGCAGCTGGGTCATGCAGCAAGATAATGATCCAAAACACACAATCAAGTCTACATGAAAATAGCTAAAAAGCAACAAATTGGAAGGTTTGGAATGGCCTAGTCAAAGTCCAGACCTAATCCCAATTGAGATGTTGTGGCAGGACTTGAAACGAGCAGTTCATGCTTGAAAACCCACACTTCACTGAGTTAAAGCAGTTCTGCATGGAAGAGTGGGCCAAAATTCCTCCACAGCGACGTGAGAGACTGATCAACAACTACAGGAAGCATTTGGTTGGAGTCATTGCAGCTAAAGGTGGCACAACCAGTTATTGAGTGTAAAGGGGGCAATTACTTTTTCACACAGGGGCATTGGGTGTTGCATAACTTTGTTTATGAAATAAATATGTAATTGTTGTGTTATTTGTTCACTTATGTTCCCTTTATCTAATATTAGGTTTTGGTTGAAGATCTGATAACATTCAGTATCACAAATATGCAAAAGTGGAGAAAATTAGAAGGGGGGCAAATACTTTTTCATAGCTGTGTGTGTGTGTATATACAGTGGGGGAAAAAAGTATTTAGTCAGCCACCAATTGTGCAAGTTCTCCCACTTAAAAAGATGAGAGAGGCCTGTAATTTTCATCATAGGTACACGTCAACTATGACAAACAAAATTTAAAATCCAGAAAATCACATTGTAGGATTTTTTATGAATTTATTTGCAAATTATGGTGGAAAATAAGTATTTGGTCACCTACAAACAAGCAAGATTTCTGGCTCTCACAGACCTGTAACTTCTTCTTTAAGAGGCTCCTCTGTCCTCCACTCGTTACCTGTATTAATGGCACCTGTTTAAACTTGTTATCAGTATAAAAGACACCTCTCCACAACCTCAAACAGTCACACTCCAAACTCCACTATGGCCAAGACCAAATAGCTGTCAAATGACACCAGAAACAAAATTGTAGACCTGCACCAGGCTGGGAAGACTGAATCTGCAATAGGTAAGCAGCTTGGTTTGAAGAAATCAACTGTGGGAAGCAATTATTAGGAAATGGAAGACATACAAGACCACTGATAATCTCCCTCGATCTGGGGCTCCACGCAAGATCTCACCCCGTAGGGTCAAAATGATCACAAGAACGGTGAGCAAAAATCCCAGAACCACACGGGGGGACCTAGTGAATGACCTGCAGAGAGCTGGGACCAAAGTAACAAAGCCTACCATCAGTAACACACTACGCCGCCAGGGACTCAAATCCTGCAGTGCTAGACGTGTCCCCCTGCTTAAGCCAGTACATGTTTTGGGGCTGTTTTTCTGCAAAGGGACCAGGACGACTGATCCGTGTAAAGGAAAGAATGAATGGGGCCATGTATCGTGAGATTTTGAGTGAAAACCTCCTTCCATCAGCAAGGGCATTGAAGATGAAACGTGGCTGGGTCTTTCAGCATGACAATGATCCCAAACACACCGCCCGGGCAACGAAGGAGTGGCTTCGTAAGAAGCATTTCAAGGTCCTGTAGTGGCCTAGCCAATCTCCAGATCTCAACCCCATAGAAAATCTTTGGAGGGAGTTGAAAGTCCGTGTTGCCCAGCGACAGCCCCAAAACATCACTGCTCTAGAGGAGATCTGCATGGAGGAATGGGCCAAAATACCAGCAACAGTGTGTGAAAACCTTGTGAAGACTTACAGAAAACGTTTGACCTGTGTCATTGCCAACAAAGGGTATATAACAAAGTATTGAGAAACTTTTGTTATTGACCAAATACTTATTTTCCACCATAATTTGCAAATAAATAAATTAAAAATCCTACAATGTGATTTTCTGGATTTTTTTCCCTCATTTTGTCTGTCATAGTTGACGTGTACCTATGATGAAAATTACAGGCCTCTCTCATCTTTTTAAGTGGGAGAACTTGCACAATTGGTGGCTGACTAAATTATTTTTCCCCCCACTGTATATATATATATGCGAGGAAAAAAACATATGGGGGATTGGAAGTGATGCAGACAATTACATTGATGGAAGTTACAATCTTTCTGCAATATTAAAGATGATCTACCCCTTAATTTTTTTTTTTATTCATTTGTTTTTAAACATTTTGGGGAAGGTCCTTTCCTGTTTCAGTATGACAATGCCCCCGTGCACAAAGCGAGGTCCATACAGAAATGCTTTGTTGAGATCGGTGTGGAAGAACTTGGCTGGCCTGCACAGAGCCCTGACCTCAACCCCATCGAACACCTTTGGGATGAATTGGAACGGCGACTGCGAGCCAGGCCTAATCGCCCAACATCAGTGCCCGACCTCACTAATATTCTTGTGGCTGAACGGAAGCAAGTCCCCGCAGCAATGTTCCAACATCTAGTGGAAAGCCTTCCCAGAAGAGTGGAGGCTGTTATAGCAGCAATGTTCCAACATCTAGTGGAAAGCAAGTTTTTCCAGCAGCAGATTATGATCAATAATGTCAAAAGCAGCGCTGAAGCCTAACAAAACAGCCCCCACAATCTTTTTATTATCAATTTCTCTCAGCCAATCATCAGTCATTTGTGTAAGTGCCGTACATGTTGAATTCCCTTCCCTATAAGCGTGCTGAAAATCTGTTGTTCATTTGTTTATTGTGAAATGGCATCTGGTCAAACTAAGGGTTGCAGGCTGATTGGTCGGCTATTTGAACCAGTAAAGGGTGCTTTGTTATTCTTGGGTAGCGGAATGACTTTTGCTTCCCTCCAGGCCTGAGGGCACACACTTTCCTGTAGGCTTAGAGAGAAGAGATGGCAAATAGGAGTGGCAATATTGTCCGCTATCATCCAGAGTAATTTTTCATCCAATTTGTCAGACCCAGGTGGCTTGTCATTGTTGATAGACAACAATAATTTTTCCACCTCTTCCACACTCACTTTACGTAATTCAAAATTACAATGCTTGTCTTTCATAATTTGGTCATTTATGTGTGGATGTGTAGGTTCCAAATCTGTTGTTGGCTTTATATAATTTATCTTTGTTTCATAGTATAGTTTATTCTTTTTGTTTAGTTTATTCACGTGATTTCTCAATTCACAGTACGTTAATCGGCTGTGCAGCCAGACTTACAGTATTTGCAGTTCCTTTGGCCTCTCCTCTCAACCGTACAATTTTTCAATTCCTCATCAAGCTGCGGGGATTTAACCGTTTTTACTGTCATTTTCTTATGGGTGCATGCTTATTAGTAACTGGAATAAACCATTTCATAAATGTGTCAAGTGCAGCGTCTGGTTGCTCCTCATTACACACTAACCAGCAAATATTCATTACATCTTCAAAATAGGAATCACTACTAAACGTATTGTATGACCTCTTATACACTATATTAGGCCCAGCCTTTGGAACTTTGGTTTTCCTAGATATGGCTACTATATTATGATCCGATGGCTGTTTATGTTTAGAGTCATATTAACATGCAGATTTCTGCAGCATTAGTAAAGATGTGAAAGATACATGCGGATGATTTCATTCCTGTTCTGTTTGTAACTACCCTGGTAGGTTGACTGATAACCTGAACCAGGTTGCAAGCACTGGTTACAGTTTGAAGCTTTTTCTTGAGTGGGCAGCTTGATTTGATTTGATGAAAGCCAGTCAATATTTAAATCACCCAGAAAGTATACCTCTCTGTTGATATCACATACATTATCAAGCATTTCACACATGTTATCCAGATACTGACTGTTAGCACTTGGTGGTCTATAGCAGCTTCCCACCAGAATGGGCTTTAGGTAAGGCAGATGAACCTGTAGCCATATTACTTCAACAGTATTTAACATGAGATCCTCTCTAAGCTTGACAGGAATATGTCTCTGAACATAAACAGCCACACCTCCACCATTGGCATATCTGTCTTTTCTGAAGATGGTGAAACCATGTATTGCTACCACTGTATCATCAAATGTATTATCTAAGTGAGTTTCAGAGATAGTCAGTATATTAATGTTATCTGTTACAAGCAAGTTATCAATGTCATGAACCTTGTTTCTAGGCTACTGTTAATGTGGGCTATTTTTTAGCACTTTTCTGGGATTCTTCATTGTTTTTATTTCTTTACTTGGGAGCCTTATCAGAGGTAGAAATGACAGTGATATTTATGTTTTAGCTGATAGTGCAGGGTGAGCTGCACACAGTGGACTTCCTATTAGGGCAAACCGCCTCAGTGCTAACAGTATAACTCAGGTTCATAGGCGATGAGTAAGAGGGATATACATTAGGTTACTGACATTGACTGCCAATGCCCCTGGGACAATGTACATTTGCAGCAGCCCTACAAACTTAGCGACACAATGGTGGCCGGGGACTTTAATGCAGGGAAACTTAAATCCGTTTTACCTAATTTCTACCAGCATGTTAAATGTGCAACCAGAGGAAAAAAAACTCTAGACCACCTTTACTCCACACACAGAGACGCATACAAAGCTCTCCCTCGCCCTCCATTTGGCAAATCTGACCATAACTCTATCCTCCTGATTCCTGCTTATAAGCAAAAACTAAATCAGGAAGCACCAGTGACTCGGTTAATAAAAAAGTGGTCAGATGATGCAGATGCTAAGCTACAGGACTGTTTTGCTAGCACAGACTGGAATATGTTCAGGGATTCTTCCGAAGGCATTGAGGAGTTTACCACATCAGTCACTGGCTTCATCAAAAAGTGCATCGATGACGTCGTCCCCACAGTGACCGTACATACATACCCCAACCAGAAGCCATGGATTACAGGCAACATCCGCACTGAGCTAAAGGGTAGAGCTGCCGCTTTCAATGAGCGGGACTCTAACCCAGACGCTTATAAGAAATCCCTCTATGCCCTCCGACGAACCATCAAACAGGCAAAGAGTCAATACAGGACTAAGATTGAATCGTACTACACTGGCTCTGACGCTCGTCGGATATGGCAGGGCTTGAAAACTATTACGGAATACAAAGGGAAGCACAGCCGCGAACTGCCCAGTGACACGAGCCTACCAGACAAGCTAAATCACTTCTATGCTCGCTTCGAGGCAAGCAACACTGAAGCATGCATGAGAGCATCAGCTGTTCCGGACGACTGTGTGATCACGCTCTCCGTAGCCGATGTGATTAAGACTTTTAAACAGGTCAACATTCACAAAGCCGCAAGAGCCAGAACGATTACCAGGACGTGTACTCCAAGCATGCGCTAACCAACTGGCAAGTGTCTTCACTGACATTTTCAACCTGTCCCTGACTGAGTCTGTAATACCAACATGTTTCAAGCAGACCCCCATAGTCCCTGTGCCCAAGGACACTAAGATAACCTGCCTAAATGACTACCGACCCGTGGCACTGACGTCTGTAGCCATGAAGTGCTTTGAAAGGCTGGTCATGGCTCACATCAACACCATTATCCCAGAAACCCTAGACCCACTCCAATTTGCATACCGCCCCAACAGATCCACAGATGATGCAATCTCTATTGCACTCCACAGTGCCCTTTCCCACCTGGACAAAAGGATTACTACGTGAGAATGCTGTTCATTGACTACAGCTCAGCGTTCAACACTATAGTGCCCTCAAAGTTCATCACTAAGCTAAGGACCCTGGGACTAAACACCTCCCTCTGCAACTGGATCCTGGACTTCCTGACGGGCCTGCCCCCAGGTGGTAAGGGTAGGTAACAACACATCTGCCATGCTGATCCTCAACACGGGGGCCCCTCAGGGGTGCGTGCTCAGTCCCCTCCTGTACTCTCTGTTCACCCATGACTGCATGGCCAAGCACGACTCCAACGACATCATTAAGTTTGCCGACGACACAACAGTGGTAGGTCTGATCACCGACAACGATGAGACAACCTATAGGGAGGAGGTCAGAGACCTGGCTATATAAATACTTATTTTCCACCATAATTTGCAAATAAATTCATTAAAAATCCTACAATGTGATTTTCTGGAAAAAAAATGCTCAAATTTTCTGTCATAGTTGACGTGTATCTATGATGAAAATTACAGGCCTCTCTCATCTTTTTAAGTGGGAGAACTTGCACAATTGGTGGCTGACTAAATACTTTTTTCCCCTCACTGTATATAGCCTCCCTACTGTTATTTCCCATTGACTCTGTACCGGTACCCCCTGTATATAGCCTCTCTACTGTTATTTCCCATTGACTCTGTACCGGTACCCCCTGTATATAGCCTCGCTACTGTTATTTCACATTGACTCTGTACCGGTACCCCCTGTATATAGCCTCCCTACTGTTATTTCACATTGACTCTGTACCGGTACCCCCCTGTATATAGCCCTCCCTACTGTTATTACACATTGACTCTGTACCGGTACCCCCCCCTGTATATAGCCTCTCTACTGTTTATTTCACATTGACTCTGTACCGGTACCCACCCCCCCCTGTATATAGCCTCCCTACTGTTATCTTCACATTGACTCTGTACCGGTACCCCCCTGTATATAGCCTCCCTACTGTTATTACACATTGACTCTGTAACAGGTACCCCCCCTGTATATAGCCTCCCTACTGTTATTTCCCATTGACTCTGTACCGGTACCCCCTGTATATAGCCTCCTACTGTTATTTCCCATTGACTCTGTACCGGTACCCCCCCTTATATAGCCTCCCTACTGTTATTTCCCATTGACTCTGTACCGGTACCCCCCCTGTATATAGCCTCCCCTACTGTTATTTCACATTGACTCTGTACCGGTACCCCCCCTGTATATAGCCTCCCTACTGTTATTTTCCCATTGACTCTGTACCGGTACCCCCCTGTATATAGCCTCCCTACTGTTATTTCCCATTGACTCTGTACCGGTACCCCCCCTGTATATAGCCTCCCTACTGTTATTTCCCATTGACTCTGTACCGAACCCCCCCTGTATATAGCCTCCCTACTGTTATTTCCCATTGACCTGTACCGGTACCCCACCCCTGTATATAGCCTCCCTACTGTTATTACACATTGACTCTGTACCGGTACCCCCCCTGTATATAGCCTCCCTACTGTTATTTTATTTATAGAGAGTGAAGGAGAGGAGAGAGAGGAGAGGAGAGGAGTGTAGGAAGGAAGTGAGGTTCTTATGGCGTCGAGCGCGGGCTCTTTCTTTCTTTTTCTTTTTCTTTTCCTATTTTTTTACTTAACACGTATTTTTCTTAAAACTGCGTTGTTGGTTAAGGGCTTGTAAGTAAGCATTTCACTGTAAGGTCCTACACCTGTTGTATTCGGCGCATGTGAAACGCATGTTACATCTTCGGCCGTTGTAGGAAAGATGCATCGTTAAAAAACTTGTGAGCATATGTTCCATCGCTATCGGGAAACCGTGCCCAGATCTCGGATAACCAAGAGCTAAAACCTTGCATAATTTGGTCAGCAGAATCTGTCCACGAGAGATTATAGCCCAATAAAGACACAAATGAGAGAAATCCGAACATGTTATTGTATCTATGGTGTCATGCGTCATTACCACTGAATGTCTGTTTAAACAGTTGGGATGCATCATTAACATGGCCTACTGTCTTGTTTGTTTTAGCACCCTCAGATCCAGAAGAAATCCCAGTACATCAAGTACCTGTGTTGTGATGATGTCAGAACACTACACCAGTGGATCAACGGGATACGCATCGCCAAGGTAACGTTACGTTGCCTCAGCAACAACTTAATGAGAGCGAGTAATGGAAAGCAGAACCATAGTCTTGGTGCTCACAGGAACACCTCAATGGCCAAACGTGATGTGTTTGGCTCTGACTGAAAGATGTGGGAACATCTGATAAAGCTGGGGTGTATTCACTATTAACCAAACAGAAGCAACCGGAACAAAACACCAGGAACCTACCTGAATTTGTTCAATATAAACCCTAGTTTTCGTTGCAGAACGTTTTACGCTTGGAGTGAACATTTTCCGATGCAAACCATTTTGCTATGTTGCAAACCGACTAATGAATACACCCCTGATGTCTGTTGACTAATGAATACACCCCTGATGTCTGTTGACTGACTAATGAATACACCCCTGATGTCTGTTGACTGACTAATGAATACACCCCTGATGTCTGTTGACTGACTAATGAATACACCCCTGATGTCTGTTGACTAATGAATACACCCCTGATGTCTGTTGACTGACTAATGAATACACCCCTGATGTCTGTTGACTGACTAATGAATACACCCCTGATGTCTGTTGACTAATGAATACACCCTGGTGTCTGTTGACCTGACTAATGAATACACCCCTGATGTCTGTTGACTGACTAATGAATACACCCCTGATGTCTGTTGACTAATGAATCCAACCCCTGATGTCTGTTGACTGACTAATGAATACACCCCTGATGTCTGTTTGACTAATGAATACACCCCTGATGTCTGTTGACTGACTAATGAATACACCCCTGATGTCTGTTGAACTAATGAATACACCCCTGATGTCTGTTGACTAATGAATACACCCCTGATGGTCTGTTGACTAATGAATACACCCCTGATGGTCTGTTGACTGACTAATGAATACAACCCCCTGATGTCCTGTTGACTGACTAATGAATACACCCCTGATGTCTGTTGACTGACTAATGAACACACCCCTGATGTCTGTTGACTACTGAATACACCCCTGATGTCTGTTTGACTGACTAATAAACACACCCCTGATGTCTGTTGACTGACTAATGAATACACCCCTGATGTCTGTTGACTGACTAATGAATACACCCCTGATGTCTGTTGACTGACTAATGAATACACCCCTGATGTCTGTTGACTAATGAATAACACCCCTGATGTCTGTTGACTGACTAATGAATACAACCCCTGATGTCTGTTGACTGACTAATGAATACACCCCCTGATGTCTGTTGACTGACTAATGAATACACCCCCTGATGTCTGTTGACTGACTAATGAATACACCCCTGATGTCTGTTGACTGACTAATGAATACACCCCTGATGTCTGTTGACTGACTAATGAATACACGCCTGATGTCTGTTGACTAATGAATACACCCCTGGTGTCTGTTGACTGACTAATGAATACACCCCTGATGTCTGTTGACTGACTAATGAATACACCCCTGATGTCTGTTGACTAATGAATACAACCCCTGGTGTCCTGTTGACTGACTAATGAATACACTCCTGATGTCTGTTGACTAATGAATACACCCCTGATGTCTGTTGACTAATGAATACACCCCTGATGTCTGTTGACTGACTAATGAATACACCCCTGATGTCTGTTGACTGACTAATGAATACACCCCTGGTGTCTGTTGACTGACTAATGAATACACCCCTGATGTCTGTTGACTGACTAATGAATACACCCCTGATGTCTGTTGACTGACTAATGAATACACCCCTGGTGTCTGTTGACTGACTAATGAATACACCCCTGATGTCTGTTGACTGACTAATGAATACACCCCTGATGTCTGTTGACTGACTAATGAATACACCCCTGATGTCTGTTGACTAATGAATACACCCCCTGATGTCTGTTGACTGACTAATGAATAAACCCCTGATGTCTGTTGACTGACTAATGAATACACCCCTGATGTCTGTTGACTAATGAATACACCCCTGATGTCTGTTGACTAATGAATACACCCCTGATGTCTGTTGACTAATGAATACACCCCTGATGTATGTTGACTAATGAATACACCCCTGATGTCTGTTGACTGACTAATGAACACACCCCTGATGTCTGTTGACTGACTAATGAATAAACCCCTGATGTCTGTTGACTGACTAATGAATACACCCCTGATGTCTGTTGACTAATGAATACACCCCTGATGTCTGTTGACTGACTAATGAATACACCCCTGATGTCTGTTGACTGACTAATGAATACACCCCTGATGTCTGTTGACTAATGAATACACCCCCTGATGTCTGTTGACTAATGAATACACCCCTGATGTCTGTTGACTGACTAATGAATACACCCCTGATGTCTGTTGACTGACTAATGAATACACCCCTGATGTCTGTTGACTAATGAATACACCCCTGATGTCTGTTGACTGACTAATGAATAAACCCCTGATGTCTGTTGACTGACTAATGAATACAACCCCTGATGTCTGTTGACTGACTAATGAATACACCCCTGATGTTGTACACAACACCCCTGGTGTCTGTTGACTGACTAATGAATACACCCCTGATGTCTGTTGACTGACTAATGAATACACCCCTGATGTCTGTTGACTGACTCATGAATACACCCCTGGTGTCTGTTGACTGACTAATGAATACACCCCTGATGTCTGTTGACTGACTAATGAATACACCCCTGATGTCTGTTGACTGACTAATGAATACACCCCTGATGTCTGTTGACTAATGAATACACCCCTGATGTCTGTTGACTGACTAATGAATAAACCCCTGATGTCTGTTGACTGACTAATGAATACACCCCTGATGTCTGTTGACTGACTAATGAAATACACCCTGATGTCTGTTGACTGACTAATGAATACACCCCTGGTGTCTGTTGACTGACTAATGAATACACCCCTGATGTCTGTTGACTGACTAATGAATACACCCCTGGTGTCTGTTGACTGACTAATGAATACACCCCTGATGTCTGTTGACTGACTAATGAATACACCCCTGATGTCTGTTGACTGACTAATGAATACACCCCTGATGTCTGTTGACTAATGAATACACCCCTGATGTCTGTTGACTGACTAATAATAAACCCCTGATGTCTGTTTGACTGACTAATGAATACACCCCTGATGTCTGTTGACTAATGAATACACCCCTGATGTCTGTTGACTAATGAATACACCCCTGATGTCTGTTGACTAATGAATACACCCCTGATGTATGTTGACTAATGATACACCCCTGATGTCTGTTGACTGACTAATGAACACACCCCCTGATGTCTGTTGACTGACTAATGAATACACCCCTGATGTCTGTTGACTAATGAATACACCCCTGATGTCTGTTGACTGACTAATGAATACACCCCTGATGTCTGTTGACTGACTAATGAATACACCCCTGATGTCTGTTGACTAATGAATACACCCCTGATGTCTGTTGACTGACTAATGAATAAACCCCTGATGTCTGTTGACTGACTAATGAATACACCCCTGAGTCTGTTGACTGACTAATGAAATACAACCCCTGATGTCTGTTGACTGACTAATGAATACACCCCTGGTGTCTGATGACTGACTAATGAATACACCCCTGATGTCTGTTGACTGACTAATGAATACACCCCTGATGTCTGTTGACTGACTCATGAATACAACCCCTGGTGTCTGTTGACTGACTAATGAATACACCCCTGATGTCTGTTGACTGACTAATGAATACAACCCCCTGATGTCTGTTGACTGACTAATGAATACACCCCTGATGTCTGTTGACTGACTAATGAATACACCCCTGATGTCTGTTGACTGACTAATGAATACACCCCTGATGTCTGTTGACTAATGAATACACCCCTGATGTCTGTTGACTGACTAATGAATAAACCCCTGATGTCTGTTGACTGACTAATGAATACACCCCTGATGTCTGTTGACTAATGAATACACCCCTGATGTCTGTTGACTGACTAATGAATACACCCCTGATGTATGTTGACTAATGAATACACCCCTGATGTATGTTTACTAATGAATACACCCCTGATGTCTGTTGACTGACTAATGAACACACCCCTGATGTCTGTTGACTGACTAATGAATACACCCCTGATGTCTGTTGACTAATGAATACACCCCTGATGTCTGTTGACTAATGAATACACCCCTGATGTCTGTTGACTGACTAATGAATACACCCCTGATGTCTGTTGACTGACTAATGAATACACCCCTGATGTCTGTTGACTAATGAATACAACCCCTGATGTCTGTTGACTGACTAATGAATAAACCCCTGATGTCTGTTGACTGACTAATGAATACACCCCTGATGTCTGTTGACTGACTAATGAATACACCCCTGATGTCTGTTGACTGACTAATGAATACACCCCCTGGTGTCTGTTGACTGACTAATGAATACACCCCTGATGTCTGTTGACTGACTAATGAATACACCCCTGATGTCCTGTTGACTGACTAATGAATAAACCCCTGATGTCTGTTGACTGACTAATGAATACACCCCTGATGTCTGTTGACTGACTAATGAATACACCCCTGATGTCTGTTGACTGACTAATGAATACACCCCCTGGTGTCTGTTGACTGACTAATGAATACACCCCTGATGTCTGTTGACTGACTAATGAATACACCCCTGGTGTCTGTTGACTGACTAATGAATACACCCCTGATGTCTGTTGACTGACTAATGAATACACCCCTGATGTCTGTTGACTGACTAATGAATACACCCCTGATGTCTGTTGACTAATGAATACACCCCTGATGTCTGTTGACTGACTAATGAATAAACCCCTGATGTCTGTTGACTGACTAATGAATACACCCCTGATGTCTGTTGACTAATGAATACACCCCTGATGTCTGTTGACTAATGAATACACCCCTGATGTCTGTTGACTAATGAATACACCCCTGATGTATGTTGACTAATGAATACACCCCTGATGTCTGTTGACTGACTAATGAACACACCCTGATGTCTGTTGACTGACTAATGAATAAACCCCTGATGTCTGTTGACTGACTAATGAATACACCCCTGATGTCTGTTGACTAATGAATACAACCCCTGATGTCTGTTGACTGACTAATGAATACACCCCTGATGTCTGTTGACTGACTAATGAATACACCCCTGATGTCTGTTGACTAATGACATACACCCCTGATGTCTGTTGACTAATGAATACACCCCTGATGTCTGTTGACTGACTAATGAATACACCCCCTGATGTCTGTTGACTGACTAATGAATACACCCCTGATGTCTGTTGACTAATGAATACACCCCTGATGTCTGTTGACTGACTAATGAATAAACCCCTGATGTCTGTTGACTGACTAATGAATACACCCCTGATGTCTGTTGACTGACTAATGAATACACCCCTGATGTCTGTTGACTGACTAATGAATACACCCCTGGTGGTCTGTTGACTGACTAATGAATACACCCCTGATGTCTGTTGACTGACTAATGAATACACCCCTGATGTCTGTTGACTGACTCATGAATACACCCCTGGTGTCTGTTGACTGACTAATGAATACACCCCTGATGTCTGTTGACTGACTAATGAATACACCCCTGATGTCTGTTGACTGACTAATGAATACACCCCTGATGTCTGTTGACTAATGAATACACCCCTGATGTCTGTTGACTGACTAATGAATAAACCCCTGATGTCTGTTGACTGACTAATGAATACACCCCTGATGTCTGTTGACTGACTAATGAATACACCCCTGATGTCTGTTGACTGACTAATGAATACACCCCTGGTGTCTGTTGACTGACTAATGAATACACCCCTGATGTCTGTTGACTGACTAATGAATACACCCCTGGTGTCTGTTGACTGACTAATGAATACACCCCTGATGTCTGTTTGACTGACTAATGAATACACCCCTGATGTCTGTTGACTGACTAATGAATACACCCCTGATGTCTGTTGACTAATGAATACACCCCTGATGTCTGTTGACTGACTAATGAATAAACCCCTGATGTCTGTTGACTGACTAATGAATACACCCCTGATGTCTGTTGACTAATGAATACACCCCTGATGTCTGTTGACTAATGAATACACCCCTGATGTCTGTTGACTAATGAATACACCCCTGATGTATGTTGACTAATGAATACACCCCTGATGTCTGTTGACTGACTAATGAACACACCCCTGATGTCTGTTGACTGACTAATGAATACACCCCTGATGTCTGTTGACTAATGAATACACCCCTGATGTCTGTTGACTAATGAATACACCCCTGATGTCTGTTGACTGACTAATGAATACACCCCTGATGTCTGTTTGACTGACTAATGAATTCACACCCCTGATGTCTGGTTGACTACTAATGAATACACCCCTGATGTCTGTTGACTGACTAATGAATAACCCCTGATGTCTGTTGACTGACTAATGAATACACCCCTGATGTCTGTTGACTGACTAATGAATACACCCCTGGTGTCTGTTGACTGACTAATGAATACACCCCTGGATGTCTGTTGACTGACTAATGAATACACCCCTGATGTCTGTTGACTGACTAATGAATACACCCCTGATGTCTGTTGACTGACTCATGAATACACCCCTGGTGTCTGTTGACTGACTAATGAATACACCCCTGATGTCTGTTGACTGACTAATGAATACACCCCTGATGTCTGTTGACTGACTAATGAATACACCCCTGATGTCTGTTGACTGACTAATGAATACACCCCTGATGTCTGTTGACTGACTAATGAATACACCCCTGATGTCTGTTGACTAATGAATACACCCCTGATGTCTGTTGACTGACTAATGAATAAACCCCTGATGTCTGTTGACTGACTAATGAATACACCCCTGATGTCTGTTGACTAATGAATACACCCCTGATGTCTGTTGACTGACTAATGAATACACCCCTGATGTATGTTGACTAATGAATACACCCCTGATGTCTGTTGACTGACTAATGAATACACCCCTGATGTATGTTTACTAATGAATACACCCCTGATGTCTGTTGACTGACTAATGAACACACCCCTGATGTCTGTTGACTGACTAATGAATACACCCCTGATGTCTGTTGACTAATGAATACACCCCTGATGTCTGTTGACTAATGAATACACCCCTGATGTCTGTTGACTGACTAATGAATACACCCCTGATGTCTGTTTGACTGACTAATGAATACACCCCTGATGTCTGTTGACTAATGAATACACCCCTGATGTCTGTTGACTGACTAATGAATAAACCCCTGATGTCTGTTGACTGACTAATGAATACACCCCTGATGTCTGTTGACTGACTAATGAATACACCCCTGATGTCTGTTGACTGACTAATGAATACACCCCTGGTGTCTGTTGACTGACTAATGAATACACCCCTGATGTCTGTTGACTGACTAATGAATACACCCCTGATGTCTGTTGACTGACTCATGAATACACCCCCTGGTGTCTGTTGACTGACTAATGGAATACACCCCTGATGTCTGTTGACTGACTAATGAATACACCCCTGATGTCTGTTGACTGACTAATGAATACACCCCTGATGTCTGTTGACTAATGAATACCACCCCTGATGTCTGTTGACGACTAATGAATAAACCCCTGATGTCTGTTGGACTGACTAATGAATACACCCCTGGATTCTGTTGACTGACTAATGAATACACCCCTGATGTCTGTTGACTGACTAATGAATACACCCCTGGTGTCTGTTGACTGACTAATGAATACACCCCTGATGTCTGTTGACTGACTAAATGAACTACACCCCTGGTGTCTGTTTGACTGACTAATGAATACACCCCTGATGTCTGTTTGACTGACTAATGAATACACCCCTGATGTCTGTTGACTGACTAATGAATACACCCCTGATGTCTGTTGACTGACTAATGAATACACCCCTGATGTCTGTTGACTAATGAATAAACCCCTGATGTCTGTTGACTGACTAATGAATACACCCCTGATGTCTGTTGACTGACTAATGAATACACCCCTGATGTCTGTTGACTAATGAATACACCCCTGATGTCTGTTGACCGATGTCTCTCTGTGTCCCCAGTATGGGAAGACCCTGTAAATACACCCCTGATGTCTGTTGACCGATGTCTCTCTGTGTCCCCAGTATGGGAAGACCCTGTATGTGAACTACCAGGAGGCTATGAAGAGGACTGAGGCAGCCTACGACTGGTCCTCTCTCTCTAGCTCCTCTATCAAGTCTGGATCCAGCTCCTCCAGCCTGCCTGGTGAGTGGTGGTGGACACACAACACAACACAACACACATGCGCACTCAGTCATTTCAGGAAGAACAATTCCAGGAATTTCAGTTTACTTCCTGGAATGACTGAATTGAAATTGATTAGACCCAAACCCTGCAGCAGTTACCACGTACTTAGCCACAGTACAGTATTTATAGGATTTGTACTTGCGTGGCCTCCTGAGTGGCGCAGCGGTCTAAGGCACTGCATCGCAGTGTTGCGCCGTCACTACAGTCTGGGGTTCGATCCCAGGCTGTGTTATTACCGGCCGTGACCGGGAGTCCCATAGGGCAGCGCACAATTTGCCCAGCGTCGTCCGGGTTATGGGAGGGCTTTACATGGCTCATCGCGCTCTAGCGACTCCTTGTGGCGGACCGGGGCACCTGCAGGCTGACTTCGGTCGTCAGTTGAACAGTGTTTCCTCCGACACATGGGTGTGGCTGGCTTCCGGGTTAAGCTCTATCTCTCTCTCTCCTGTCTATCTCTCCCTCTCCTCTCTCTCTCTCTCTCCTGTCTATCTCTCCCTCTCCTCTCTATCTCTCCCTCTCCTCTCTCTCTTCTCTCTATATCTCTCTCTTCTCTCTCTCCCTCCTCTCTCTCTCTCTCTCCCCTCCCTCCCTCCCTCCCTCTCTCCAGAATCCCAGTCGAACCACTCCAGTAGTGATAGTGGTGTTGCTGTGTCAGAGAGCAACCTGTCAGGCCACACCCGCTCTCAGAGCCAGGTCAGCTCCATCTTCTCCGAGGCCTGGAAGAGAGGCACCCAGGATGACTCTAAGGTACCACGTCACCTCCTCCTGTACTCACACCCTCACCTTACCCTATCACCTGTCTCTATTGACCTGCCTCAGTATTCCTCACCTTACCCTAGCACCTGTCTCTGTATTGACCTGCCTCAGTATTCCTCACCTTACCCTATCACCTGTCTCTGTTGACCTGCCTCAGTATTCCTCACCTTACCCTATCACCTGTCTCTGTATTGACCTGCCTCAGTTTTACCCCAGGAGTGTGACTGACATTCTGTCATGCCCGATTCCCACTATAGGGTCAAACCGAGTCAAGCCAAGCTATATTGGGTTACACATCCACCATAGTTGCTGGAAGGAAAATGTGAAAAATAAAATATCATAGCCAGCACTGTATGGTTCGGGGTCGACCCTATAATGTGAATGGGGCATCAGTGTTGCAGTGTCCGACGCGGACTCCGTCCTTTCATGGTCCAGTCCAGGGGTGACTGACTGTGCCTGTTGTCTCTCCCCTCCACTGTTCTCCCCAGGAGAGGAAGGTCAAGTCAGTCAAGTTTCATACCGTGCCCCTGTGTACTGGAGGGACTGAGGTTTGAGGTTGGGGGTGACTCATGTTTTATCATTAGACTTTTGTAATCTGCACATTCCTTCGGTACACTAACAGAACTGGGTCACCCTTGGTAACTAGTGGTTAACGTGTGGTTAATAATGTTTGGTGACTGGGGCTGTGGGACTCATGACTGTCTGTCTGTTTGTCTGACCGCACAGCGCTGGTGTTCTACTGTGTTACAGTGTTTGTCACTGGCTTGTGTGAGAACACTAATGGTTTTGCAGTCTAAAAATGGCTCTTGGTCAGAGTGCAGGAGGAAATCGCCTAGTGATGTTTGTTGTCAGTGTGTTTTTAGGCTCATGTGTTTTGAAAGCCCAGTTCCACTTCTACTCATGAGTTGTCATTTGTTTGTTTTTTGCTGAATGTACAGTTGATCTGCTGAATGTACAGTTGATCTGCTGAATGTACAGTTGACTGAATGTACAGTTGATCTGCTAAAATGTAAGTGATCTGGGAAGTACAGTGATTGCTGGAAGAAAAGTTGATCTGCTGAAGTACAGTGATCTGTGAAGTACTTTGATTTTTGCGAATGTACAGTTGATTGCGGGAAAGTAATTTGATTGCGGGAATACTTTATTGTGGAAGTACGTTTTTGCGAATTTACAGTTGATCTGGGGAGTAAGTTTTTTGCGGGAAGTACATTTTGATCTGCGGAAGACATTTGATTGTGAAGTACAGTTGTTTGGGGAAGTACTTTGATCTGCGGGAAGTCCCATTTGATCGGGGAAGTAAGTTGATTGCTGAATTACATTTTTATGGAATGTACAGTTGATCTGCTGAATGTACAGTTGATCTGCTGGAAGTACAGTTGATCTGCTGGAAGTACAGTTGATTGGAGTACATTTGTTTGCGAATGTACAGGATCTGGGTCGGGTTGATCTGCAAATGTAAGTTGATTGCTAATGTACATTTTGATTGGGGAAGTACATTTTGATCTGTGAAGTTTACATTTGATCGCGATGTACGTTGATTGTGAATGTACAGTGATCGGCCCGAAGAAAATTTTGATTGTGGGGAAAAGTACAGTTAAATTGCTGAAAATTTATTCTAAAATGTAAGTTGTTTATTGTGTTAAAATTTCATTTTGTTTGTTTTTGGGGAAAGTAATTTTGAATTGCTGGAAGTACATTGATCGGAATGTAATTTGACTGCTGAATGTTAGGGGGTAAATCAGTCCTCATATACAACACAAATTAAAAAGTGCCGGGTTTTTTCCCCAGTGTGGACAGTTTAAAATAAAATGTTGGCTTTTACCTTAAAATAGTAATGAATCTTTTCGAAAAAACCGAAAAAGAAGGGAGAGAGAGAGAGAGAGAAAGAGAGAAGAGAGAAGAAGAGCGAGAGCGAGAGAGAGCACGAGCGCGCGACGCAGAAGATGCGAGAAAAGGGAGAGAGGAGAGAGAACAAAGCGAGAGAAGAGAGAGAGAGCAGGGGGGAGACGAGGGAGAGAGAGGGAGGAGAGAAAAACTCGAAGGGAGCACAAGGGAGAGAAGGAGAGGGAGAGGAAGGGAAGAGAGAGAAAAAGAGAGCGTGAGCCAAAGAGCGCGAGAGAGAGAGGAAGGGTGCAAGAGCGATAGAAACAAGCGAGAGACCAAAAGGAAGAGAGAGCGGGAGAGAAGGGAGAGCAAAGAGAAGGGGCGAGATAGGGCTAGCGGAAACCTAGAGACAAGGAGCGAGAGAAAAGGATCGCGAGCGAGCCCCGGAGAGAGGGCGGGCGAGAGACCCATGAAGAGAGGGAAAAAGAGAGGGAGAGAGCGAAAAAGGAGAAGAGCGAGAGCGAAAAAAGAGCAAAGAAAGGAAGAAGCAAAAAGAGAGAGAGAGAGAAAAAGAGAAAAGAAGAAAGAGAGAGAGAAAACGAGCAAGAGAGAGAGAACAAGATGAAGAGAGAGAGAGATAAAAGAGAGAGAGAGAGAGGAAAACGAGAGAGAGAGGAGAGAGAGAAGCAACGAGAGAGAGAGAAAGAGAGAAAAGAAGAGAGAGAAAAACGGAGAGAGAGAGAGAAAGAAGGGGGAGAGAGAGAGAGAGGCAGGGAAGGGGAAAAAAGAGAGAGAAAAAAGAGAGAGAGACAAGAGAGCGCGAGGGGGGAGGACAGAAGGGAGAGAGAGAGATGGGAGAGAGAGAGAGAAAAAGAAAAAAAATAAAGAAGAAAAGAAAAAAAGAGAAGGGAAAGAAGCGAGAAAAAAAGAGGAAGGAAGAATGAGGAGAGAGAGGAAAAAGAGAGAGGGAAGGGAGAGAGAGAGGGAGAGAGAAAGAGAGAGAGGGAAGAGAAGAAAAGAGAGAGGGGGGGGAGAGAGCAGAGAAAAGAGAGAGGGAGAGAGAAAGCAGAGAGAGGGGGGGAGAGAGAAAAGAGAGAGAGAGGGAGAGAGAGGAGAGAGAGGGAGAGAGAAAGAGAGAAAGAGAGAAAGAGCAGAGAGAGGGAGAGAGGTGAGAGGAGAGGAGAGAGAGAGAGAGAGGGGGGCGGGGGGGAGAGAGAAAAGAGGAGAGAGGAGGAGAGGAACGAGGAGAAAGAAAGGAGAGAGGGAGAGAGCGAAGGGAGAGAAAAAGAGAGGGAAAGAGAAGAAGAAAAAGGAGAAGAAGAGAACGCAGAAAAAGAGAGAGCGAGTGGAGAGCGAGAAAAAAGAGAAGGGAGAGAGAAAAGAGAGAGGGAGAGAGCAAAGAGAGAGGGGGAGAGAGAAAAGAAAGCGGGAGGAGAAAGCGAGAGGGAGAAAGAAAGAGTAGAGAGGGAGCGAGAGAGAGCGGGCTAGAAAAATGAGCGGGAGAGAAAGAGCGAGAGAGAGGGAGAGAGAAAAAGAGAGAGCGAGGGGAGAGAGAGAGAGGAGAGAGCAGAGAGGGAGATAGAGAGAGGGAGAGAGAGAGGGAAGAAGGAGAGAGAACAAAGAGAGGGTTCAGCGAAAGGATAGGAGGCGAGGATAGATGGGGATAGAAAGAGGGAGACTAGCGAGTGAGCTACGATCGAGATAGGTCTATATCGCGAAACTAGCTAGCTATCTCGTTATCTATATATCGAGTTTAGATATAATTCACTGTATCTCGTTATCTCTATAGTAGAGAGATCTCGCGTTCAAGAGCAAAAGAAGAGAGAGGGAGAGAGAGAGAGGGAGAGAGGGAGAGAGAGCCCCTATCTCTCAGTTCTCTCTCTCATGTTCTCTCCTCTCTTGTTTCTCTTCTCTCTCGTTCTCTCTCTCGTTTCTCTCTCTCATTCTCCGCGCCCCCATTCTCTCCCTCTTCTCCTCTCGTTCTCGTGCTCTCTCTCTCTCGTCCCCCCTCTTTCGTCTCTCTTCTCTCGTCTTTCTTCTCTCTGGTGCTCTTTGCTCTCTCTCTCCTTTCGTTCTAAAAAAAACCCAAAAAAAACCCCTTTTCCCCCCCCCGGGCCCCCAAAAAGGGGGGCCCCCCAAAAAAATTTTTTTCCCCCGCCCCCTGCCCCCCCAAAAAAAAAGGGGGGGGCCCCCCCGAACCCCCTTTTTTTTTAGGGGAAAAAACCCCCCCCCCCCTTTTTGAAATGAAAAAAGCCTCTTTTTCCCCCCTTTGTTCTTTCCCCCTTTCCCCCTTTCCCCTTTTATTTCGTTTAAATTATTTTTTTTCTGTTATCTCTTTGGGCCCCCCCCCCCGGGGGGGGGGGGGCCCCCTCATTTCTCTCCTAGTTCCCCCTTTTTTGTTTCTCTCTCTCTTTTTTCTCTCTCGTTTTCTCTCTTTCTCCCCCCCCATTCTCCTCCTCTCCCCTCTGGTTCTTTTTCTCTCTCTCTTTTTCCCCCCTTTTTCGTTTTTCTTCGTCTTTCTTCTCTCTGGTTTTTTTCCCCTTTTTCTTTCTCTTTCCCTCTCTCTCGTTCTCTCTCTCTCGCTCCCTCTCTCTCTCTCGTTCTCTCTCTCTCGCGCTCTCGCGCTCTCTCTCTAGTTGAGGATGGAGTCAGTGAGCAGACCCTACCCTCTGACGCTGCCCCCCCATTGCACCAGTCAGCCCCCCCCGTCCCGAACCAGCTACACCAGTGTCTCCCCCCGAATCCTTGCCCTCACCCCCCGACCCTCCCCCTCCTCCTCCCCCACCTCCCCCTCTCCCCAACCCCCCTCACCAGACCGCCTCAACCCTGTTTAAGTACAGCACCATCGCCCACCTGCAGGGTGGCGCCAACCAGGCTGCCAATCAATACAATGTCCAACCAATGGGGCAGCAGCAAGGCCCTCCAGCCCCTCCCCTCCCCAACTATAACACGCTCCCATTGGCACCCTCCAACTACATCATCATGCCATTGGCTCCCAGCAACTTCAACCCTCCTCCCCCTCCTCACCCCTGCTCATTGCCTTCTCCAGGCTCTGCCATGGCCTCTCTGAGGCTTGGCCCCCCCAGCCCTGTTCCTCAGTTCATCGCCCCTCCTCCCCCCCAGGACCAAACCCTGCCACCCCTTCACTACCCACAGAGTAACGGCACCCTGCTCCCCCCTCCGCCCCCCGAGGAGGACCACCAGTGCCTCCCTCTCAGTAACACAGGGCTGCAGCAGTTCCTGGCCCAAAAGTTCCCCAATATGAACTACGACTTCTCCGACCTGGATGGCCAACCTGAGTCCCCTCCTCCTCCCCCTCCTGCCTTCTCTCCCCTCTCCCCCACCCTGTCACCCCCCGCACCTCCTAAAACCTTCTCTGGTGTCTTCCCACCCCAGACTGCTCCTAAGACCTTTGGTCCAGGGATCCCCCTATCCCCAGTCTCGCCCTCCCCTCCTTCTGGTCCAATGAAAAAGCAGCAAAGCTTCTCAACAGGCCATTCACCCAATCAGCCGCCTCCCACCATGCCCAAACAGCACAGCTTCTCCTCTAAGACCCTCCCCCTGTCCGCCCCAATCTCCCCGAACCCTTCCCTGGTCAAACAGATAGTCAACCAGTTTCCTGGAGCTCCCCTGCCCCCCCAGTCCCCCCCGGCTGTCAAGGCCAAACCAAGATGGCAGCCAGGGGGTCAGATCCCCCCCCAGTCCCCAGAGTTCCCCCCTCCTCCCCCTGAGGACAGCCTGGACTTCCCCGCCCCTCCCCCTCTCCCCCCTTCCAAGATGGGCTCTCCTATTAAGAAGTCTCCCTCCTCCACCTCAACCGGCTCCTTCGGGAAGAGGGGGCCTCCTCCCACCCCCCAGCGCGCCTCCTCCATCAAGTCCAACTCCTCAGGGGAGTACCAGGAGGAGGTCCAGGTCCAGAGGCAGCCTAAGAAGGTGGAGTCTCTGGTCAGCAAGTTTGCCCAGCCTGGCCTTGGCTGCTGCAACTCCTCCATCGCCACCGCCTCTGGATCTCCTGCTAAGGACTTGGGGCCTCCTGCTCCTCCTAAACCAGGCAAGCTGAACCTGTCAGCCCTCCCTCTAGCCCTCCAGGGTCTGCAGACAGGGCAGCACCGCCAGCCCAGTGGAGACTTCCCCTCACCTCCTCAGCACCGCCAGCCCAGTGGAGACTTCTCCTCTCCTCTTCCAGAGCTCGATTACTTCCCCCCTCCTCCTCCCGACTCTGAGCTGCTCCCCCCGCCCCCCCTCCCCTCTGAGCTCCACCCGGGGGCCCCCAGGGTCGCAGTCGTCAACCCCCAGCCGCAGGCCACGCCCAATCTCCCACCCCGTCAGCCAATCATCATGGAAGACCCAGTCGCTGAAGAAGACTCCACCTCCGACACTCCACAGGCTGTCCCGGAGCAACACGGTCCAGGACCCCTTACCCCTGTCCCCCCCGCCCTTCAGCTGTCCCCTGCCCCCCACCCTCCCCGGGGGTCCTAAGGGGGTGGGTGGTACCCTCTCCTCGGTCCAACCCAACTTCCTGGAGGACCTGAACCGGACCTTGAAGAGGAAATCCATCTCTCGTCACGGCTCCCTCACGCGTCACGGCTCATCCCGGCTGGAGCCCGTCTCCATGGACGACATGGCCCTCCCCCCTCCGCCCCCTGAGCTGCTGCTGGACCAGCAGAGGGGGGGGCAGGGCGGGGGCCACGGGTACATGTCCTCAGGCTATGCAACGCTGACGGACGGGGGACGCGCGCCCTGCCCCCGCGATACACGGGACACCAAAGCACCAAAACTGACGGGAGTAAGGTGGGTAGCTAAGGGGGGTTAGCAGGGGGTGGATGAGGTAGGTGGTAGCTAGGGGGTGGATATAGGTGGTAGCTAGGGGTGGATAGTGGTGGTAGCTAGGGGGAAGAGGAGGACTTGGGCTGAGCTTCCCATGCTACAGACTGAATACAGCCTATGGACCCATCAACGCTACAGGCTACAGACTGAATACAGGCTACAGACTGACTACAGCTACAGATGACTACAGGACTGCAGACTGACTACGCCATGGACCTGACTACAGGCTACAGACTGACTGACTACGATGACTACAGCCTATGACTACAAGACGTACAACATACAAGCCTAGGACACATCAGACGCTACAGGCTACAGACTGACTACAGGCTACAGACTGACTACAGGCTACAGACTGACTACAGGCTGCAGACTGACTACAGGCTACAGACTGACTACAGGCTACAGACTGACTACAGGCTGCAGACTGACTACAGGCTACAGACTGACTACAGGCTGCAGACTGACTACAGGCTACAGACTGACTACAGGCTACAGACTGACTACAGGCTACAGACTGACTACAGGCTACAGACTGACTACAGGCTACAGACTGACTACAGGCTACAGACTGACTACAGGCTACAGACTGACTACAGGCTGCAGACTGACTACAGACTGACTACAGGCTGCAGACTGACTACAGACTGACTACAGGCTGCAGACTGACTACAGACTGACTACAGGCTGCAGACTGACTACAGGCTGCAGACTGACTACAGACTGACTACAGGCTGCAGACTGACTACAGGCTGCAGACTGACTACAGGCTACAGACTGACTACAGGCTACAGACTGACTACAGGCTACAGACTGACTACAGGCTGCAGACTGACTACAGACTGACTACAGGCTACAGACCATCGAGGCCCCAGGCTACAGCTAATGGACGACTACAGGCTCAGCATTGTATCACAGACTCCAAGACGGATACAGGCTACAGACATAGGACCAGACAGCTGCTCAGGTACGACTGACTACAGCTGAACTTGCTAAGGAAAACTACTTAAGGTACAGACTGATATCAGTACGGTGTACACTAATGATAAGACTACACTGACTACAGACTGCTCAGCTACACTCTCCAGCATGACAGACTGACTCAGAACTACAGAATCACTGTTCTGATGACATCACCCAGGAATGTTATGCCTACGTCTACGGTTGTATCATAGACACCTAGAAGAAAGAAGGCCGAAGACCTACCTTAACTTTCCAAATTTTGTGACGTTTCTTTGTGTACATAATGAATATAACCGAAACACTAGTATCAAATTAATTTCAGCTAGACAGGATGAGTAAAAAGTCTACGTTATAATAACTCTATGAAAAGAGAGCTGGCCAAACCACCTATCAAGCTTTTCCACATGTTTGTGCCGCTTTGCAAAGAATATAACAAAACATAAACAAAAATAATTTAGCTGCAATATAAACTGGTACTGCATGGACTCCTGTATTGCATGGAGATGTTGTTACCTTGACAACTGTTTTGGGGGGATGTGATGGACATATGCGGGGAGGGGGGATGTGTAACTTTTACTTTTGTGTTTTTATATCAGATTATTTAATACCAGAAAGATATTATTATTTTAAAGTTAAGTTTTTAAAGCCTAGTGAGTGAATATGAACTGTGAGTAGTAGAGACCAGGGTTGATGTGGAGATGGCTCTGGTCCAGGGTGTTACGTCTGGCAGTAATGCCCTGGAACAGAGCTAGTGTTGAGATAGACAGGTGTGTGTATAGGAGCAGTATATAGGGAGGATCCCTGGTTGTAGTTGGATAGGTAACAGACAGACAGAAGACAGACAGACACAGACACTAGTGTAGTTGGATAGGTAACAGACAGACAGACACCAGGCTAACGCCCTCCATGTGGTCGTGTCCGATATGAACCCTATTCCGTACGTAGTGCACAGGGCCCATGGATCTCTGGTCAAAGCAGTGCACTGTATAGGGAATAACGGACCGTTTCAGACCGTCTGTCTGTGGAGTATACAGATACATTTCATTCTATTCAAGATGTTTTGCAAATTGCACCAAAATGGTTAAAGGTTTCCAGCGGATTTACTTTACTGGACAACTGTAAGGTGATTGGCTTATGTTTTAATGATCCCTCTCAGAAATGTCACTGTTCATTGCTTTGATTGGACAAGATTTAAACGGTGCACAATGAAGGTCCAGCTCTGCGATTGGCTGTTATGTTGATGGGGGCGGGTCTAACCTGCTCTGTTTCTATTGGTCACATTAGATGTCCGTCTGTCTGTCTGTAGATACAGCTGCAGCTCCTGTCTCTAAAGGCCTCCTTTGGCCCTACAGACAGACAGACAGACAGGAAGTGCACTAAACTACAGGAAGTGCTAGGACAGCCAGGTCACATGACAGAAAATATTATAGAATTAAGTGAATGTTCTAGAAGCATCTCAAGACCTGACCAGATAGCCATGTAGCTCCTGAATGAGGGTGGACGTACGGAATGCCGTTTGGGTCATAGTGTGTCACGTCAAATAACACAATTCGGTTATAGAATGTTGTGTGCACTGAATTTGCAAACGCAAGACAAGCGCCACCACTATTGTCAGTCAGCACTGTCGGAAATGTAAAAACAAAAAAACGTCTGCTAACAAGCACACGCTCCGGCCAAGATGTGTTTAAAACACTGCATTGGTAGTAAGACATTGTTGTTCGACCAAATGGGAAAACATCTGTGAGCATTTTAATTAAAATCGTGATCAAACGAGCAGGATCCAAAATGTTAGCTATGTAGTACAACATTCTCCCATGCAACCATCCCAGAGGCAAGGGAGATAGGATGGTGATCCTGCTGCTGTCAGCCAGCCAGCCAGCCAGCCAGCCAGCCAGCCGGCCAGCCATATCCCAAGCAGTTACACCTGATTCATCCTAGCTAGTCAAAATACAGAATAATCAAGCGTTTTGTCAACATTGATGACAGTTTAGATGTTTGTAACTTCAGTTCATAAAAATAACTTGTTAGCTATCAGGATAACAAACTAAACAAGCTAGCCAGCTAGTACCTAGCCCCAAGCCACTAACGCTATCGTTAAGCAGCTAGCCAGCTAGTACCTAGCCCCAAGCTAACGCTATCGTTAAGCAGCTAGCCAGCTAGTACCTAGCCCCAAGCTAACGCTAAGTTAAGCAGCTAGCCAGCTAGTACCTAGCCCCAAGCTAACGCTATAGTTAAGCAGCTAGCCAGCTAGTACCTAGCCCCAAGCTAACGCTAGGTAGCTTCATCTGGCTAGTGTGGCTTGACACGAAAACTAAAACTGTCTTATGAGTTAGGGATATTTTAGATGATGACACCTAGATAGATAGTAAGTTAGCTAACCATAGCTACTGAAACAGATGATGTCGTTTTGCTATGTTTTGGGGGGAAAGCATTGTCTGCATCAATCAGCTAGCTAGCTTCTTTTCTGAGCAGCACTTTCCCAGAGCTTGAGACAGCGCTTTACCAGCATCATGTATCGGTGAATACAGTGAGGGGAAAAAGTATTTGATCTCCTGCTGATTTTGGACGTTTGCCCACTGACAAAGACATGATCAGTCTATAATTGTAATGGTAGGTTTATTTGAACAGTGAGAGACAGAATAACAACAAAAAAATCCAGAAAAACGCATGTCAAAAATGTTATAAATTGATTTGTTATCGCTGTGACATATGAAATACAAGTGGTAGTGTAATAACTACTTTTTAAAAATAATGAACGCGTTAAATGATTGTGATCATACTCAGGTCCTGATTGGTCAACAAGTAGTGTTATTTGACGTATACTTTCTTTTTGACACGCAATGATCCAAACGGCGTTACATATGGACAAACGTTGTTTCACACTAATGCCTTCTCTTTACCACAGGCATCCCAAATGGCACCCTATTCCCTATGTAGTGCACTGCTTTTGACCAGACCGCGACCCATATTCCCTGTTAGCGTCCTGTTCCAGGGGGTTGTTATTGTACATCAAGCTGCCTCGATACAGAAACAAGAGATTGTCTCCAGCTCCTATGGCCCTTTCTGGCTCTGACCAGGTTTGCTTATTAAGTAAAGGAAAGGGAAAGGAATATTGTGCTTAATTTGTAAATCGGGAGTTGCCAGAACAAAAAGTGAGCGCGAGAGGGGGGTGACCTGGGGAGCTCTGAGGTACCAAATACGTTATAATAAAGTGTTGCATGCATTACATCACATTTGCGTAGTGGCATAGAGCAGGAGAGTAGAGGCACTTACAGAAGTTGCACACATGGGAGAAAAAAAATGGTGTCCTAGGGTCTGGGAACTGTTTGGCCTTTTCATGAACGCATTTCATGCAATTCTATGTCATTTTACATGGCATAATTTTTTTTGATGCCGTGTTCAAAATAACTGAGAACTCGGAGCTGGCAAATCTCCGACTTCCAACTTCAATGTATTTAAGACAACTGGGAAATTGGGGGAAAAATTAGCTCTGACTGGAAAAATGTGTTTTGAACAGTCATCCAACTAGGAATTCCAAGTGGGGAACTCTGGCCTCTTTCTAGAGATCTGACTTTCCGACCTGAAGATCACTGACGTCATGATTCAATATAGTTAGCACCATAATAACACAATAGCACAGTCTCGTCTTGAATCCATCAATAGCCCAGGCCTAGGTGTGTGGAGACATAGCGTACAGTCATGGTCAAAAGATTTGAGAATGACACAAGTATTGGTCTTCACAAAGTTCGCTGCTTCAGTGTTATGAAAAAAAAATAATAATTATATATATATATATATATATATATATTGTAAAGTGGTTATCCCACTGGCTATCATAAGGTGAATGCACCAATTTGTAAGACGCTCTGGATAAGAGCGTCTGCTAAATGACGAAAATGTAAAATGTTATGAGATATTTTTGTCAGATGTTACTATGGAAGTATAATTACAAGCATTCCATAAGTGTCGAAGGCTTTTATTGACAATTACATTAAGTTTATGCAAAGAGTCAATATTTGCAGTGTTGACCCTTCTTTTTCAAGACCTCTGCAATCCGCCCTGGCATGCTGTCAATTAACTTCTGGACCACATCCTGAATGATGGCAGCCCATTCTTGCATAATCAATGCTTGGAGTTTGTCAGAATTTGTGGGGTTTTGTTTGTCCACCCGCCTCTTGAGGATCGACCACAAGTTCTCAATGGGATTAAGGTCTGGGGAGTTTCCTGGCCATGGACCCAAAATGTTGATGTTTTGTTCCCCGAGCCACTTAGTTATCACTTTTGCCTTATGACAAGGTGCTCCATCATGCTGGAAATGGCATTGGTCGTCACCAAACTGTTCTTGGATGGTTGGGAGAAGTTGTTCTCTGAGGATGTGTTGGTACCATTCTTTATTCATGGCTGTGTTCTTAGGCATAATTGTGAGTGAGCCCACTCCCTTGGCTGAGAAGCAACCCCACACATGAATGGTCTCAGGATGCGTTTACTGTTGGCATGACACAGGACTGATGGTAGCGCTCACCTTGTCTTCTCCGGACAAAGTGTTTTCCGGATGCCCCAAACAATCGGAAAGGGGATTCATCAGAGAAAATGACTTTACCCCAGTCCTCAGCAGTCCAATCCCTGTACCTTTTACAGAATATCAGTCTGTCCCTGATGTTTTTCCTGGAGAGAAGTGGCTTCCTCGCTGCCCTTCTTGACACCAGGCCATCCTCCAAAAGTCTTCACCTCACTGTGCGTGCAGATGCACTCACACCTGCCTGCTGCCCCGATCCCACAGCTGAATCAACTTTAGGAGACGGTCCTGGTGCTTGCTGGACTTTCTTGGGCGCCCTGACGCCTTCTTCACAACAATTGAACCTCTCTCCTTGAAGTTCTTGATGATCCAATAAATTGTTGATTTAGGTGCAATCTTACTAGCAGCAATATCCTTGCCTGTGAAGCCCTTTTTGTGCAAAGCAATGATGACGGCACGTGTTTCCTTGCAGGTAACCATGGTTAA